ATTGTGATGGCGATGGGGACGGGGATTTGGGTATCAATATCAAACGGCAGGCAAAGGTCTAAATTGGGCAAAGCCAGAGCACAGCACGGTAAAAATAAATCCAATTAAGACACGAAGGTAAGAGTTTTCGTTTGTATTGTCAATATTTTCGTTTTGGATTTATAACTTATAAAGTTAAATATCCCTGATTTTAAAAATTTATGACAAGGACTAAGAGTATCTAGAAAATTTCATTCGACTTCAGATACTGACTTCAACTTTTCCTATATCAGTTAAATTTAATTTATTGCTCAAATAATAAAAGTCCTATCAATAAAATGCTGCTCATATATTTTACTACAATATGCATTTTGTACACTCTTAAGCTAAACTTAAGATAATATTATGTTTTAATATAAAAGCGTATTTATAAGTAAACAAAAGTGTTGAAACTTGGTTCGTTAACAAACTACATAGACATTTATTAAGGAAACTTAGTTCACGGATTAATACAAATAAAGACTCATTCAACGATAAGATTAAGCATATAATTTAAATTAATGATCAACATTTTTTGCTAGTCCACTTTAAATTGGAAATTAGTAGTTAGTAATAAAATACAAAATACACACTTTGAAAATTCAGTAGAATTTATAGCCAAGAAGTTATTAATGAAAACTTCTCAGAAAGCGCTATTTGGATCCTTTAAGTGAAATTAAACGTAGCAGAAACATTATGCTTATGATTTAAATTTAAAGAGTTGAAAACAACAAACTTAACTGATAAAATACCAGAAAATACCCAAGCCCAGACTCAAACCGCGAAGGGGAAATGGCGCTCGGAGTTCAAAAGCGATGATCCAAAATAACCAGAAAATACGCGAGGAACTAGATCAAAACCACACTCGTTGCGAACTAGTTCCGCAACCTAAGTTCGCGCAGCGACCAGGGCTGCGTTGCCACCCTCGAGCTGCACAAAGAAAAATAATTTACTCGCCAGCAGCCCATTGGCGTTTTTTCATTTTTTAAAGTGTACTTAAGAGTTGTTAATATTTTTCACAGTGCTCGTTCCCCGCAAAACACAACAAACAATAATAGCCGAATAAGTGTGAGTGAAAATGCAGCGAGCTGCAATCGGCGCAAAACAGAGTGGACCGCAAAGAACCCAACATAATCCGAACCCAAAATCGAAGTCGAAATCAGGCGAAGCCATCATTAGCGAGACATTTGTATTTGTCTGACCCCAGCGGTGTCTGAGAATCTGAGAGACGGAGAGAGAGCAGAGAACCCAAGGAAGCGCCACTCGACCAATTCGACATGGGTAGGTGTATATGGCTATATGCTAGTACCTTTTACATATGTATCGCCCGATATTGGGGGCCAAGGCGGTTGCGGGTGGAGCCCCCTCGATTTCGGGGTACAGCCGATGCAGCCAACAACTAGGAGCCCTTCTGCGTGATGCGCGCACTTCACTTCCAAGTCGCTGTCCTGCCTACCTGCCCCGCCTCCCCTGCCCTTGTCCCCCGCACTCGCCCTTCGTCCACCGACCGTCGTTCTCGGCGAACGCAATGCTACCAGGGCTGAAAAAACAGCGTCGCTAATCGGTTGTTGCTGTTGGTGGCAAGAACGACCCAAGAAAACAGGAAAAAGGGGGGAACATCGAACAAAGGGCGAGCAAACGATAGTTGACACAAGAAAAAAAATAACAGAAATCTGTATTCTAATGGAAACTTGCATGATTAGCTAGTTATTCAAAACAAGCTAGAGAAATTAGTTGAAAACAATTTTGAATTTATTTGTTTTTATGAGTGATAGTTGTACCTCTTACCAAATTTTTTAAGAAGTCCCAAAACGGTAAACAAATTAATATACATAAGTGTTGAAAATAGAAAACCAAACATTACTAAATGAGTAAAAATATAAAAAAAATGAATTATTCTTATTGTTTTTATTCAGTGTTTGCATAGCAGGTCAGTCTCAAAATGGGTTAAGTATTGTTAAAATCTATCTTTCCTTTTTCAAACCTGGTAAAATACCAACAAAGCTTTTTAAAAAATATCGCAACTAGTGCGTTAAAGCCACGGTTTAAATTGACGCATCCCTGGTAGGCGCATACCAACCCAAACCAACCGAAAATCAAATTTGCATTTGTTTACATTCGATTTGCAGCCTCCGAGTCGATGGCCCCCAGCAGCAGTGCAGCGGCTGCTGCTGCGGCCACCAAGCTCCTGGTGGAGATCACCACCGACGGGATACCGAAGCTCCACTGCCCCGTCTGCAACAAAGCGCTGGTCTCCCTTGCTGGATACGTGAAGCACGTGAAGAAGCACCAGCCGCCGGGCGGCTTCGAGTGCCGCCACTGCGATGCTCGGTTTTGCCACGAGGAGGAGCTCACCACGCATGCCAAGGACGAGCACGGAGTCACCGGACCGGCGGCTGGCCAAGAACGTAAGCCGTTCGTTTGCGAAAAGTGCGGGGCGGAGTACAAGTACCAGGAAGCCTATAGACGCCACTGCAGGACCAAGTGTGGCGAAGAAAAGCCACCAAGGGTGAGTCATTCCATTTGCCAAAACACTATCATTACTTAACCTCTTTCCCCCAATAGGAGGAATCCCGCCCCGTGGAGTGCAAGTGCTGCTTCACCCGCTTCTCAAGCACCTCCAATCTGATTAAGCACCAACGCAGTCGTCCGGACACCTGCGGACAGCCGGAGTACGAGTTGCCTTTTAAATCGTCAAAGAAACGAAAGGCCTACCGCAAGAAGAGCCGCAATAGGGACTCGGATGATGATGATGAGACAACCACCGAAGAATCGGACAGCGACGATGACATTCCTCTGGCCAGTCGGCTGAAGACGAAGCTCAAGCAGGAGAGCCAGAACTCGGACTCGGGCGACGAGTGTCCCGACTTTGAGCCAAACAACAGCGAAGACGATGCGGATGCCTCAGCTTTCCAGCTGCCTCCGCCGGCCATGGTCAAAGTGGAGGCCTTCGACGAGGAGGATTTCGAGTACCAGGATGCCAGCATGTATGTGAAGACCGAGAGCACCGATATTTTCAGCAACGAAAAGGATAAGCTACTCGATGTGCTGCTAAACGAGGGCGATGGTCTTAAGCCCTTCGAAAGTTTGAAGGTGGAGCAGGGCGCTGGCATTCTGGACGAGATTGCGGCCGTGCCGCTGGTTGAGGTTGCCGAGGAAGATGTCTTAGAACTAAGGGGACATCAAATGGATACACCAGTGGTAAGGAAGCGAGGCAGACCGCCCAAGGAGAAGATTCCAGTGGTGAAGAGAAAGTATCGCAAACGAAACGCACCAAGATCGCCCTCGCCTGATGATTCATCGGGTACTCCAAAACGTGTGGCCAAGATTAGCAAAAAGGAGCTAAAAGAGCGCCTTAAGATGATCAACAAGATGGAGAAGTCCTGGAAGTGTCCGCACTGCGTCAAAATCTACCACATTCGCAAGCCCTACGAGAAGCATTTGCGCGACGATCACAAGTTGAACGAGGCGGAGATGAAGGAGATCTTCAAGGACGTGGACGTGCATGCCAAGCTAGACGAGGAGGTGTTCAAGTGTCCCATTTGCAGCAAGATTTATCTGGTGGAGAAGCGCTTGGTTACCCACATGAAGGTGCATGGCGAGGACGGCAAGCTTACCTTTAAGTGTCCCTGCTACTGCAACCTGTTCTTCGCAACAAAGGAACAGGCCACGGAGCACGCCCGCGCTCAGCACAAGGAGCTGCTCTACTGCGAGAAGTGCGACAAGTACATGACCGGCCACGACAGCCTCAAGAACCACGAGCGCAACTTCCACTCGAAGAAGGAGCCGCGCAGCCAGCAGCGCAATCTCATCTGCGACAAGTGCGGCAAGAAGTTCACCGGACGCACCTCGCTTTCCGATCACGTGCGCTCCGACTGCGGCCGTTTGCCGCTCTACGGCTGCAGCGTTTGCGGCAAGCATTTGTCCACAGCTGGGTAAGATTTAGTTACAATAAAGGCCACAGTAAATCATATTAATTTTTGCTGTTGAACCTTGTTAACATATTTTTTTCTATTATGCAGTATTCTCAAGACGCACATGCTCCTGCACAAGGCAGACACCCCGTACCAGTGCGACAAGTGCGGCAAGACATTCAAGGTGAAGGCCCAGTACAAGTCTCACTTGAAGACGCGGCACACGGACTACAAGCCGTACAAGTGCCACCTGTGCCCCAAGGAGTATCCGTACAGGGAGAGCCTGCTCACCCACATGACAGTGCACACGGGCATCAAGCGTTTCCTGTGCAACAACTGCGGCAAGCGCTTCACTTGCATCTCCAACTTGCAGGCCCATCGCAAGGTGCACGCCGACACCTGCGGTCAGTTGCCCCTGAATGCCAAGGCGACCCAGTACATGGGCGTGCAGCGCGGCAAACTATTGATGGGTGCCAAACCGGAGGCGGGCATGGAGTACGAGGAGACGAAGACCCTAATTGCCCAGGACGTCATTGACAGGGACATGCCGATGGCCCAGGAGCTGAACTTCCCATCCGACGGCTCTGCGCCACTGGCCACCGTGCCCCTGAACTACGCCTCCACGCACCTGGTGCCACACATCGTACTCCAGACCATGCAGGCCGAGGCCCGACGGTTGGAGTAACTTCGGAACACATTCATATAGCGATCCCACTCAATAAAGATGCTTTTGTAAACGGATGCGTATTCTACTGTACAACAAATGGGATGATTACTACATAATATCTACTTAATGACTGGAATAATTAAATAATATTGAACGATAAATAAGCTACATAAATTGATGTAGAAAAAGGTTTAACGCCATACGGACCTGTCAAAAAACACATTTAAGAAAAATAAATTTTCCTTACAAAAATAGTTTTAAAAGACGATATTTTCTTGGATTTGGAGTTAAAGGATTATATTTTAAAGCTTTCACTCTCATTCAATTATCTTTATTTATACTATCTAGCTTTAACTTAAGTATCTTTACTGAAATAAAAGCCCAATCAAAAAAACAGTAGGTAAAAATACAAATATTTTCTTTATATTTACTAACAGTCTTATCAACTACTTAGATTCCACGACTTTCTAGTTTAGTCTGAAGTAGGGCTGTTGGTATCGGCCAATGGGCATTCGATCCTTGGTTCTCAGCCGGCGTACAGCCTCGCGGATAAATTTAGGTTGTAGGGCGCCGGATTCACCCTGAGCCTCCATCACATCGAGGGCCTCCTCCACCACCTCGCCCACGAAAACCTTAGCAATTCCGGACATGGCAATCACAACGTTTTGGGAAACAGAACAACCAGTAATGGTCTGCATCAAACGCTTGACGGCGGCTTTGGGAAAAGCAGAACGGCGATACATTTCGTAGCGATCCAGTTGTTCCTCTGTGAAGTTGGAAACGAGAACCCTAAGAAAAAACCGAGTTCAATAAATGACTTGGAAAAGGTATGGCCTTCATTGCGCTTACTGCATCCGTTCACGTTCCTCCTCCTCCAGTTCCTTCTTGGTCTTTAGCTTTTTGTGCGCGGGTTCGCCGGAGTCCCCGTCCCCGTCCGTATTCTTGTTGTCACCATCCACGTCCTTGCCTTCACGATCCGCATCGTTTCCAGGATCCGAGGTTTCGCTGTCCTTCCGCTCGGCGGAGCCAGACTGGAAGAACTTTAGGTCGACATCATCGCCGTCACTTAGAGAGTTGCTCTTCTGCTGCGTGGGAAACAGGATTTGGTCCATTTTAGAGCAATTTGGAAAACACCGACGACCATAAACAAAATAGACCAGGGCTGCAGACAAATTTGTTTACTTATTCGCAGTCTAACAACACTAGTTCAGCTAGCATGAACCAGATTTGATGAAGATGGCACCAAATATCGGTTAACTGCCTTGCTAAAATCTTAATAAACGAAATACAGTTTTATTTTTTTTTTTTAACTTTAGCAATTTTATTTAGCGAAGCAGTCTTGCATATGTCACATTTTTCTAATTTTCACATTTTGTACCTAAAAAATTTATTTTTGGACAACTACTAAAAATTGAATGCCCGTCTGGTTTCGATAGTCCTGCGGTCGCTGCTCAACACTGTTGGACACCTCGTGTTTTTGTTCTTTTCTCCGCATCGCCATCGCCAGGCCAGAGTGCGCGCTAGATTTTCGTTTATTTAATCGTTAAACCAGCAACCAACACACTCCAAAATGTCAGAAACCGAGGCCTTGAATGTGGAGACGGCCACGCCCCAGATTGGCGAGGAAGTCAAGAAGCAGAAGAAGCCGAAGCCCAACAATAAGAAACTGCGCCAAGGTGAGTGACCTCATGCGAGCAGTGCATTGCTGTGGTAATTGCAACAGCACGACCCACTCCCCGCAACCACCCACAAACGAACCAACCCACAAACGAACCAACCCACTTAACCACCCACTGACCGACCTACCGGCTAATTCACAGAGGCGGCGGCAAAGAAGGCTTCCGGCGAAGGCGGCGACGAAGAGCCGACCACGAACGGAGATGCCAAACCTGCAACACCGGCCGCACAGCCGGCTAAAAAGAAGGGCGGCAAGGGCAAGAAGAGCGGACAGACAGATCCGCCCACTATCCCTATTGCCAAACTGTATCCCGATGGCAACTTCCCCGAGGGTGAGATTGTGGAGCACCCGACACCCAAGGATCTTGCGGATGACCGCACGGCCAAGGATCGCTTTACGTCGGAGGAGAAACGCGCTCTGGACCGTATGAACACGGACATCTACCAGGAGCTGCGACAGGCGGCCGAGGCTCATCGCCAGACGCGCCAGTACATGCAGCGCTACATCAAGCCGGGCATGACCATGATCCAGATCTGCGAGGAGCTGGAGAACACCGCTCGCCGCCTGATCGGTGAAAATGGCCTGGAGGCTGGTCTGGCCTTCCCGACCGGCTGCTCTCTTAACCATTGTGCCGCCCATTACACGCCCAATGCCGGTGACACCACCGTGCTGCAGTACGACGATGTGTGCAAGATTGATTTTGGCACCCACATCAAAGGCCGGATCATTGACTGCGCCTTCACGCTGACCTTCAACAACAAGTACGACAAGTTGTTGCAGGCCGTCAAGGAGGCCACCAATACCGGCATCAAAGAGGCTGGTATCGATGTGCGTCTATGCGACATTGGTGCCGCCATCCAGGAGGTCATGGAATCGTACGAAATCGAGCTGGACGGAAAGACATATCCCATCAAGGCCATTCGCAACTTAAACGGACACTCCATCAGCCCGTACCGTAAGCCCTAAAACTATGCATTTTTTAATTAATCTATTAATTTAGCAACCATGTGCCAACCAGTAATATTTGGTCTACCTCCATTATAATCCTTTTTTATTTTAAAAGTTCATTATAAGTGATATAATTTTTATAGCTTTTAAAATTGAATAGACAGAAAGAAATCTATTTATAGTTCTACTGAGGTAGTTACTGTGTTACTAATTGTTGCTAATTACAAGTAGTGCTAAAATGTAACCTTTTTCTCGGAGAGCAATTGATCGACGTCTAAATAATTTGCAGGCATTCATGCTGGAAAAACGGTGCCCATTGTCAAGGGCGGAGAGTCCACTCGAATGGAGGAGGACGAGTTCTACGCCATCGAGACCTTCGGCTCGACGGGTCGTGGTTTGGTTCATGACGACATGGACTGCTCTCACTACATGAAGAACTTTGAGCTGCCGTTCGTGCCACTGCGCCTGCAGTCTTCCAAACAGCTGCTGGGCACCATTAACAAGAACTTCGGCACCCTGGCCTTCTGCAAGCGTTGGCTGGACCGCGCCGGTGCCACCAAATACCAGATGGCTCTTAAGGATCTGTGCGACAAGGGGATCGTGGAGGCCTACCCGCCACTGTGCGACATCAAGGGCTGCTATACGGCTCAGTACGAACACACCATTATGCTGCGACCCACCTGCAAAGAGGTGGTTTCCCGAGGCGACGACTACTAGACGAGGACGTGGAACCAGATCGAGGTAGTGATTGCTATTCGGCGTTGTATTGCTTGCATTATATACGGTTTTTGATATAAGTTCACCCTATTGTTGATTTTTTGTGAGCGTACGCGGACCGAATTATATATAAAGTGTATTATGCTCAGAATATAAGAAAAGTGAGATTATTTTTGAGGTTCGTTATTTTGTGGTAGATGTTTAAGGACTTTGGGGATCAATTCTTGCCAATAAAGCGAGTGAGAGTAGTTTCCTTTTTCAGGCTTTTTCTCTGTAAGCGATCTGTATATATAGACGAACCACTTTCCGGTGAGATAGTAGAGGATCTCGATGTAACTGACTATGCTGAAGCCGTACATGAGCGAGAGGATGCCGCCAAAGCGATCTGCAGGATTAGGGAAGGTAACAATTACTAATAGCGTGGTTTTAGCCATTAAATTACTTACTAAGAAGAACAACCCAAGTGCTTACTAGCTGGGATCTAGTGGCTGGGGCGAAACGCAGCTTGAAGAAGAGCTTAATTATGGCCAATGGTCGCTCGTTGGTTAATCCCCTTCTGAAACGTTAATATATTTCAACATCTAGCAAAGAAATAATGGTGCAAAACTCACAGCAATCCGACAGAATAGCCCGTAGTATTGATGTTTGATCTCAAGGGAGCCACATTGCTGGTGATGCTGAAGCTAACTCCGTCACAGGTGGGCAGACAATGCTCGCATTGCCGTTGGGCCAACTGGCCATCTTTGTTTTGCAGGAAGGCGAACTCATCATGGCCGTACCAGATATCCTTCCACTTCATCAAACAGGGAAGATCGGGTAGAAGGCAGTTCGGTAAATCGAGGGAACTGCCCAACATCGGCGGAGAAACACAGCCACAATGATCGACCATGCTTCTCATACGGCAAACCAGAAGACACTCGTCCAGGGAATAAAACGATCTGCAACCATTATTTCTCTTAAAAATTGATTCTAATGAATCAAGCAATTGATATGTATAATGACATACTGGTTTAGCACTTTACTGCCTTCCTCAGGATAATAGCAACGTCGTTTTTCTGGCGGAACTGCATGAACTCCACTGGTTGAACTAAAGAACATTGGCTGAATGGGAATCTCTACAACGGTGTTATGATCCACAAGGATCTCTCCCAAAGTAGAAGACTGTATGGTGGGGTAGTCATCTTGGGGAAAAATAATAAGCTATAGAAATTTTGAAAATAAGGTAAAGGTTAACAAGAAAGATGAGTCAGCAAAAGGTGGCTAGTTATAATGCTCACCTGAAAAGCGTTATTTGAACGATAGGTGTTTGTAAAATCGTTCCTAGGAGTATCCTGTAGCACAAACTGAACGCTATTTAAAATGGAATTCGACTCAAATACGACTTTCGGAACAGAATTCATTTCTGCATCTTGCTCGGCTCGCTTGTCCCTAAAATCAATTGCAGTTAAGTAACTATAACTATTAAGGAACATCCAACCAGGAGAAACTCACGCAAAATGTGAATAGCTGGGCCGCCGGTAGTTGAATATGCAACACACATTCGTCGAGGTTGGTCGCTTCAGGAACAGTTGGCTGGTGTTGACAGGTGCCCCGAAGACAATGCCCTTGATCACCAACTCCCCGCAATCGGGCGACAACTCCCTCAGAATATCGCGAATCGAGTATGCAGAGTTACGATAATAACTCAGTAGAAGCCAGTGCAGTTGATTCAGCTCAGAGGCATTCCAACGTTCGAATTCGAATGGGTTTAGGTAGTACTGAGCCAGAACCAGCAGGCGATCGGCCATATCGGCCACATCTAGGGCCACCTTCTGGAGCGAGGAGTTGCCCTGGTGGTGAAATCTATTGGTGTTACAACCAGAAATTAGTATGCCTCACTGCACTCATGTGGAGTATAAAAGCCCTGAGGCGAGACAAGCCCTGGATTAGTTCCAATATGAAGCTTCAACTGCTGCTACTATCGGTTAATATAATTAATTTTTGCTTGGCTGAGCGCCAGAGGTTCGATCACTATAAAGTTTATAGGGTGAACCCAACGAACGCGAATCAATTGGCGGGTCTGCAATATTTGGATGGCAATAGCAAGGATGCTCTGGTTTTGAACAATGTCCACATGGGTCCCACTGATTTTTTTGTGGCTCCCAGCTACCTTAATACCTTTCTGAATATTCTCAAAGGATTGGATCTCACACCAGAACTCATCGACAATAATGCCCAGACCAGCTTATCCCTGGATATAGAACCCGTGGCGGATGCAAATCGGCGGAGTGATGATTACTTGTGGTCGGAATACCACGAACTTAATGACACTCATCATTGGATGCAGAATCTGGTGGCCAAGTATCCGGGTATCGTTAGCATGTTTGTAGTGGGTCGAAGCTTTGAGGGTCGAGAATTGTTGGGATTGAGAATCAATCACATCAATCTCAGACTGGGAAAGCAATCCATCTTCTTGGAGGCTGGAATGCACGCCAGGGAATGGATTAGTCCTGCCACAGCTACCTATTTTATCAACGAACTACTGACCTCCAAACAACCGGAGATCATGAGTCTGGCTAGATCTTATGTGTGGTACATACTGCCTCATGCGAACCCAGATGGATATGTCCACACCCACAAAACAGTGAGTTATTACACGTATTATAAGTAGATCATTAAACATTAAATATTTTTTGGTATTCTTTTAGAATCGCATGTGGCGTAAAACCCGCAGTCGGTTGGGTAACAATTGCATTGGAACGGATCCAAATCGGAACTGGGACTTCCATTGGCGCGAAGTTGGAGCTAGTTCTGATCCCTGCTCGGAATCATATGCTGGACCAAGGGCATTTTCGGAACCGGAAGTGGAAGCCCTTGCTCAGTACCTCAGAAAACTGCCGGAACCAATGTTCATGTACCTCTCACTGCACTCCTTCTCCCAGTTGTTACTGTATCCCTATGGACACACCTCCCAACTGCCGGAAAATCATAGGAATCTGAGGAAGGTTTTCAATGCAGCCGTGAGAGCAATTGAGAAGCGTTACGGAACTCGATATACAGGTGGAAATGTCTACGATGCCATTTACCCTGCAGCGGGTTCCAGTACTGATTGGGTTTACGGGGTGCTCAATGTCAAATACTCCTATTGCTACGAACTACGTCCTTCGGGATACAGTTTTTGGACTGGTTTCAGACTTCCCGCCTCGCAAATTATTCCCACTGGTAAGGAGACCACTGACGCCTTGGTGGAAATGATCAAAGCTGCTGCTCAAATTGAGGGTTACAAAATTCATTAAAAAGGAGAGACCTTTTCTCTTAAAACTATTAAACATTTTTCGATAAGATAAGGAGGAATCAGATCTGTTGTTTATAACAAAAACTAAAAGTAGTAACCTAGCTTGATAATCAAAGATAACTTAAACGGTTTGATAAGATGAAAGTAAAGTCAACTACTAGTCAACCTTCAATGAAAATATAAATGACTTGATTAAAGTAATTCAATCTTTATAGGCAAATGTCTGAAAAATTAACAAATGATGAACTGTGTACCTTGATGTTTAAAATGTTAAAATACAAACACTTAGAGGTATGCCCCTCGAAAATTTGATAAAAATAAGAAAAGTTATGCTTTTATAACTGGTGAATTTTGGTCAATTTTCAGCAAACCCACTTTTTGGAAATTCCGAAAGTTGTTGTGTCATAATAATAAAAACAAAACCGCCAAAAAATAACGAATTTTCTTATGATGCAGTTTGTTAGAGAATGGAAATACAAACATTTAGAAGTATGGAATTAGTAAATTAGGCTCAATTTTCAGCAAACCCATTTTTGGGAAGTTTGGAAACAAAAAATTAATTTGTTGGAAACTCTGAAAGAGGTTGTATCATTAAAATTAAAAAAAATTGTGAACGTTTAAGAAAGGTTGCGTTGTAAACAAAAATCCGTAGTTTTTGCACAGCTTAAATAACTTATCTGAAAATACTATACTAGTTCCATAGGCTTTCAATCAAAATATTGGCACGACAAGCTTCGCGTTTCATGACAAGGCCATGTGATGATTGTCTGATGAACTGGCGTTTTCCCGAAGAGCTCAAGACGTCATGAGAAGAGAGGAGCAAGTCGGGCATTATGATGATTTACCAGGCACAGCCGTTGAGACGGCGATAAAGGTGTTCCACCCGATTGCATAGATTACTCCGATATTTACTGCCCAAGCGATTGTCACAGGCAGTCGCGGATTGTAAATTAGATTTGGAGCGCTCTTATCGATGGCCTATAAAAGGAAGTGGTGGTCGGGCTAATGGCTCAAACCAACGACAACCATGTCGCTGACCAAGTGCCTCGTTTTCGCCCTTCTGGCCATCGCCTCCGTGAGTGCGGAGAAGGTTCGCTATGACAACTACCGGATGTACAAGGTGGCCTCGGAGAACGCCAAGCAACTGTCGGTGCTGAAGGAGCTGGAGGGATCCAGCGACTCTATCCTCTTCATGGACGGAGTTCACCTGGTCGGTGCCGACGTCCAGATCGTGGTGGCCCCGCACAAGGTGCCCGACTTCCTGGAGATCCTCGGCAAGGCCGAGATCAAGTACCAGCTGGTGTCGAGCGATCTGCAAAAGTCCATGGACGAGGTCGACGAGAAGGTGGCCATCAAGGGACGTGCCACCAGGGCCAGCTACAATTGGGCTGAATACTACGAGCTGGACGACACCTACTCGTGGCTTCAGACCCTTGCCAACCAGTACCCCGGAGTGGTGACCCTGATCGAGGGTGGAAAGACCTACCAGGGTCGCTCGATCCTGGGTGTTCGGATCACCAAGGGAGGCAGCAACAAGCCGGGTATCTTCCTGGAGGCCGGTATCCATGCCCGCGAGTGGATCGCCCCTGCCGCTGCCACCTACATCATCAACCAACTGCTGACCTCCGAGGATGAGGCCATCAAGCAGCTGGCCGAGAATTACACCTGGTACGTCCTGCCCCATGCCAATCCCGATGGCTTCGTCTACACCCACACCACCGATCGTCTGTGGCGCAAGACCCGCACTCCCTACGGCAGCTGCTTCGGAGCCGATCCCAACCGGAACTGGGCCTTCCACTGGAACGAGGTGGGTGCCAGCAGCAGCGCCTGCTCGGACACCTATGCCGGTCCGTCGGCCTTCTCCGAGATCGAGACTTTCTCCCTCTCCAAGTACATCGAATCGCTGAAGGGCAAGATCCAGCTGTACATTTCCCTGCACGCCTACTCGCAGTATCTGCTGTATCCCTACGGACACACCGCCGATCTGCCCGACAACGTGGCCGACTTCAAGCAGGTCTTCGATGCCTCCATTGCCGCCGTGAGCAAGAAATTCGGAACCAAGTACACCGGAGGAAACATCTACGATGCCATCTACCCCGCGGCTGGAGCCAGTGTGGACTGGGCCTACGGAACCCAGGATGTGCGCATGTCCTTCTGCTACGAGCTGCGTCCCTCGTCCACCTCCTACCTCACCGGATTCAGGCTACCCGCCGAGCAGATCGTCCCCGCCAGCCAGGAGCTGCTCGACTCCATCGTGGCCATGGCCGCCGAGGTCAAGAGCCTGGGCTACTTCGACTAAGCGAACCTCTAATAAAGTACTCACAGTTTAACCGCATAATCGTGGAGTAGTCGTTGGCTGATCCTGTTGGCGGTGCACACGCCCACCGCCGGAAAGGGGCTGTTGGCCACGTGGACGAGGTTGGGCGACATGTGGATCTCGGTGGGCTGCACCAGGTACTCCTGGGTGAGGTTCACGATCTCCAAGTGGGTGTAGATCACAATGGCGGTGAGCAGGGCAAGCCAGAGAACTCTTAAAAGGGATAATAAATGGTTAGGGTATCTAATTATGGAGACAGAATATACAGATATATAAAATCCTATGAGGACTCAAGAATTTAAAGCTTATAAAATCAGAAATTAATTAGTATAAATAGTTTTTATATAACGCTTATTGATTTGAGGTTCATATTCCCAATGATTCCCAATAATCGATATTTTTAATTTTAGTAGTATAGTTTGTTAATCGTGTAAAAAAATTTTTTTGGGGAGAAATATAAAAAAATATATTTATTAAAAAAATCGTATATCGTAGATAATTTTGCATATTAATATTAGAGGGAGAGGAATTTTTTATACCCCAAGCTTGTACTTATAGTCATTGGTGCACTTGTTTTATTTGGTTGTTCCTTTCAACTAATTTAAAGGTAATGCCTAATCAGGACACTTGACTGCAGCTACTGTGAACAAGCTTTTCAACATTTTCAACTCACTTGGCATATCGAACGGGTGAGTGGTAGAGGAACGGATGTAGGCCATTGATGTAACTCTGGCGCAGAAACTCGCGGAACAAGCGGCGATAATGGGACTCCTCCACTCGAGCCATTGTGTTTGTAGAGTGCTCGAAGTGGGATTCCAGACGATTTATAAAGCTACTACTGCTACTGCTGCTCATCAATCAGGGCTCTAATGAAAGCGTGTCAAGTGAGGTGCAATTGAGTGCGCGAAGAGTGTTTGATTTAGCTGCTTTAGTCCCTGTTAATGTAGTTGAAAATTGGTCTAAACGTGAGGAAGTAGATGAACTCAAAGGCCGTCACTATGGAGAATCCCATAATTAAGCCAAGCAATCCTCCAAAAGAAGCTGTCAAAGGGAACATGGTAATCAGAAGTAAATTATGAATATGAATTAAGTGGTAGTTAGTTTACCCAAGGCGGACAGCCAATTTTGAAAGATATCCGTGCGATATCTGGTGCTCATCAAATCGCTGAAGAATACATGCAGTAGAATCCTGTCCGTTGCATTGCTAAGAAATACGGTTTAAGAAATAATTATTTCTTTTAAATAATATTAAAGTTAAAATTAATATTCCTACCTAAACGTTGGTCGGTTGGCAAAGTAGCTCATGTCCAATCTGCCCGTCGTACTTTCGGAAACATAATGATTTGATTGGCAATCGGGAAGACAACCGCAGGGAAAGCTATCAGTCTCCCGAACAATCGAAAGCGAGAAATTCAAGTTAGCCAGGGCATGGGAGAAGAGTCCTAAAATTAAACATAATTAGTAACCTAATAACTAAGGAAAGGATTAACCAACTTTTGCTGCGAATCATGCAGTTTGTTTCCAAGACACCACAAACTTTGTAACTTCCGTTGTTATAAACATACGGTGGAATGCAACCACATAGATCTACGGCCATTCGAACCCGACACTCAAACATGCAATTATTAAAGGAGTATCTCCTCAGACCATGCATAGACCTCTCACTTCCGAAAAGACAGTTCCTCAGGGAAATATCCATCTTCCGAATATCGTTGGTGGCATAGGTGGACTCCGGATTTATTCGCACGAAACTTTCCCGCGTGGCGGTGACTACCTTTGTCTCCGAATTCTCATCCGGAAAGTTGTAGGCATCGTGGAGGAGAAGTCGAAAGCCATAGCCGCTGAAGAAGGTTCCGTAGTAGTCGGTTACCATTGGATTCAGTAGCACCGAGAGACCCGTGGGATATCCACAGCCAGTAACTCGATAAGGTCGCTTGGGGACTTGATATGCGATTTTTCTGCAATAAAATATTATTAACACCCCAAGAGAGTTATTTCAGTAGCGAATCTTACTCTGGGAAATTATTTTTGACACCCCCAAAGTAATTAAAAGTGCAGCACTGCCCTTCCATGGTTTCAATTCGTTGAAAAAGACTGTCACATCGCGTATTTATGCCCTTCCAAATGCAGCTGGATATCATATCGATGCAATCGGGTGATAATTGTTGAGAAAGTCCATAGAGAGTTACATTATTAAGCGTTAAAATCCTATCGTATATCTGCAGTGAAGTATTGCTAATTAGGCTGTCCACTGGTAAAAGTGTGAGGTTGAAGAGGTTGTGCAGCTCGGTTTGGTTAACACCAACTGGAAGTCGCCTATAAAATAAAGAAATTGATGTATAATTTGTTTGTATCTACATATTTAATTGATTTTTTAGCAAAACATAGAGTGAATTACTAACATTTGATCCAGTAATGTGAGTGCCTTGGCTTTTGATATTTTGTTGAAATTGCAGATGGTAACAGCCGGGAAAGGAATGTTCCAAGTGGGAAAGTGGGAACTCTCGATGACAGTAACCGTTGGGGTTTCCTGACTCCAATACCAGGACACCACGACCAACACAATCGAGGTGATGATGGCCAGGATTACAACCACCAGCCAGAACCATCTCTCCCTGCGACTTATTTCCTGTTTGGTGATGTAAGCGAATCCATGGAGCGAAGTTGTCTGGCAGTAGTTCCGCATATTCTCGGTGAACCATTCTCCGATTTGGTGAAAACGATGTTTAGGATGGCTGGGATTTTGTGGGTGACTATGGTGAAGATTACTCTTTCTGCGACTTGCGGTTGTGGTGGCCAATTGTTGGGCCTGAACCTGCCGCAAATCGAAGATGCGCCGCTTTTTGAACGCCATCTCTGCTGGTTGAATCCCTCGCGGCTACTGGAACTCAATCGAAGTCAAGGTAATTAGGCCAGCTTATAATTAGCCAGTCCTAATGATCTGTGGTGTTGCCCACTCTTTGAGCCCTTCGGCGTCGCCAAAGGATTTGCTGCCTGGTTAACCAGTTGCATGTGGGTCGCACACACGAAAAGAAAATTAACTCGAAGACCGAAACGAAACTGCAGCCCATAAATAGTCCGGTTATTCCGCCGAAGGTTCCTGCCCATAAAAAAATAAAATTGCTTGTTCGATGAATGTCATTTTTAGTTGGTGGCTTGTAGGTCATTAGTGTACTTGCCTATGAATGTCAGCCAGTTCTCGTAGACGTCCAAAAGCTGCTCTTCGGCAATCGGTGAGTCGTAGTAGACACGCAGACGGATTTCATTTGTAGCCTTTTCGTGGCTAAAGTATTCACAATAAATTTATTAATTATTTATTTGAAGGTATATACATTTACTATATGTATAGTAAAAAGATTATAACTAATGACTGAATTGTTTATACTTGAGAGTTTTGGTAGTAATAACCGCTTCAGCTAACTTCCTTTTTTGCAAATCGTTTTAATTTATGGTACCTTATCTTTTAAGAGCCTTGTTAAATTATACTTGATTTCTTTTTATAAAAAAAATGTGTTCAATTTCTTAACTGTGCAAACAAAGCAATAACACCCCATTGTCTTTCTAACGGATGTCGATTCGTAATTCTCTTTGCAAAGAAAAAATTTAATTCAATTTCAAAACATTACCTCGAGTTAACTAAGTTACTATTAGTCATCCCCTTTATAGGTCTTATATCACCCTGGAATTCGTAGCGGTTGAATTCACAAGCCGGAAGGCAATCGCAGTTAATTTGTTCTCCTTTGATGATCTCATCACGATCTGTGAATAGAAATGTATGATTAAAAGTACGTAAAAATTATATTACTTACCAAAATCTATTACACATTGCATTTGTTTTAGATCGCAGGTTGTCAAATTTGTTTCGTAAGGAGTTTTGGGAGGAATGCAACCGCACAGTTTGAAGATTTTATCGTTGCGACATTCTGCTCGGCAATTATTTTGGTTGTACTTATAGGATGATATTAGGCGACGTTCGTATGGGAAATAACAGCCTCTTTTTTGCAAAGGCACACTATCCAGATTTATTGCGAATCGATTTACAAAGGGTTGCAACATTATGTGAGCTTCTGATCCACTTGGCACCATAAATCTTGAGGTACTTTCATTGGGTATTTCATGGGAATCGTGTATTAGAACCTCCAAGCCAGAAAACTTTAAACTTTCGGCGTATTCACCATTGGTGCCAAAAAACAAACTTAATCCCATTTGGGAACTAAAGATCTCTTGGCGGTAATTAAAGCTGCAACACAGACGTTGATCCAGTGTCCAAATAAATGACAATTTTCGTAAACAGTTCCCATCGGTGTTATCCCACTGACAGTTTTTGATTTGAGTGCAGATGGGAAAAGAGAGATCTTCTAGAAGTTCCAGCCAACTTACATTTTGTAAAGCTAGCTGTTCTATTACAGAAGAGTTTAAAAGTGGAAATGAACCGAGAATTTCCTGTGGCAAGCCCAATTCATCAGCTTTTTTCTGTAAACTTGGTTCAAAAATCATGTTGAACCCACAAATTGTGACTGCAGGAAATGGAACTTCAGAAGCGGGATTCATCATGGTGTCTATGAAGCGAATGGTGGGTGTTTCCTCGGACATTGAAAATGACATGATTACTATAATAAGTGAAAGGAATACCGCTGTGCAAATTAGCATCCACCACAGGATTCTTTGCCAGGTTTCGGCACCCACAAATATGTGAAATCCATGTATGCTGGCCATCTCGCAGTAGATCTCAAATCCTGTTTTTCTTTTACAAAGTCCGTCATCATTTCGAGCTCGCAGAAATTGAAGAAATTTTGGCAGTGGTATTTGGTTTACACGGTTCGAAAAACTTCTATACCATCGCAGTATTTTTAAACGTTTTAAGTTATTTTTAAGTTTTGATACTTTTCTTGGCGGCTTTTTAAAGTGCTGAAGAGGTTGAGACTTGCTTGGTTTTTTACTTATCAGATAGCTTTCAAAGTTGACAAGATATAACGATGGCGGAGGTTCTTTTATTGGTGAAACTGACATGATTTTAAGTAGGAAACTTTATTTCAATCCCAATATCTTGGATCAAATATCCTATAGTTATAGAAGAAACAGGTTTGAACTGTTTTATTAACTGTAGAGCTGTTTTATATATACCCAAATAAAACGTCTTTAGTGCTTTAGCATACATTTATTTTGTTTATTAGATCGTTAAACGCCCTTTACTTGTAAGATCCACAATCAATATTATTATCTTCAGTGGCTTCTTCGAATATTAGAGGTCAATGGGAATGGGAGGAGAACTTTCACCTCGCTTTCTGTGTTTATTTAGATGTAATCGTGGCAGTGAGACAATTGTTGTTTTGCCTTCGCACGCCCCCAACTGGAGAAACAATTATCCCCATGTTTATTTGCCAAAGCGCAACCGGCTTCTGGGTTAACAAGGCGATAAGCTAGGCAAATATTAATAGTAAATTGTTTACAGCCCATATATTATTATGTGAACTTCCTACTCGCTCCTGCCCACCATTGTTATTATTATTGTTTCTGACTTTGCATCGGGTTGCTAATGAGTTTTGTTATTACCTGCCTCCCAGCCACCCACAAAATAGTTGTTCAAATATTCCGCTTATGCCACCAAAGCAATTTAGATGTGTCATTGCAGCTCCAATTTTAAAACGGGCTATTTACCTTGTGCTGGGTTTTTCCAAAACTGAATCGGACCATTGTCACCTTTTTGATTACCAATCTGTGGGATTTTGATTTTCACGATTTTAAATCTCATCGTAATCAAACCGTGTTCTAATCGCCAACGAACAATAAAAGGCGTTAATTTGTCAGAGTAAGTAATCCCAAAAAGGTGATAAGCCCGTTCAGATTTGAGGTTCTTGATTTGTAATTGGAGTCGACGAAAGTTCAGAAAACGCCCGATTGCTATTATAAAGATAAGAGGCTTGTGCAAATGCAGCCAGATTTGGTTTTGGTTAATTTAATATAGAAAAAAACATTCTGTTCGATACAAAAGGAAAAAATTCCGAGGTTTACAATGCATTATAAGAAGCTTTAAGGAAATTGTTTTAAATTTTTTTGTCTTGGTTCAAGGCAGTGCTTATATTTTAAAAACAATCTTTCTGATAAATGTAATGTGCTTTATTGGTATTTCAAATCATTTAATTTAATTTTAATTAGTGATCAATATTAAATCAAAAAGTGTATTCATTTGACTTGAACTCTACATGAAACATAAGCAACATACTTTTAGGGTTTTTCAATCTAAACATGATTGTCATGGGACAACTTCCGCAGAGTTTTTATTGAATGGAAAACCCTCCCCGGTAACCCATATTTTTCCGGTATTGTTAATCTTTTAAGTACATAAATCCAACCGAAAGGCTGCCAAGCTAGTTATAAATATTTTCTTTGCAATTATTTACGAGCAAACATGATTTGTGGGTGAGCAAATATTTGAATTCAATGGAAATGTAAGAGCAATAAATTTTCCGCTGAATCGGGGCTTCGCATGGATTTAATAATCTGCGGTTTGTTCCGTTTTTGTTTTTGCCAAGGTTGCCAAATCTTTCTAATGATATTCCGCGGGCATTTCGCATTTCGCAGCTCATTTGCATGCCACGTGCCCGGGAGTTGATGTCTCCCGATGTCTGACAATATATTACTCAATTATGGGTACGATGGCGGGCCCTGATAAGGCATCCCATACCTCAACGGAATCAGCTGCTGGGATTAATTGCCCCCGGACAGATGCACTCGCCTCTCAAGCCTTAAATCTTGCGGTTTTTAACTGGGAATATTTTGGTGCATTCAGTGCTTATAAATAAACCGTCTCGTAACGGTGATCGAGGTTTAAAAAACGATTGAATTGCGTCACGCAACGGTAAAGACAGGTGTATCTCTGGATTTGGAACCACCTTACAGATCACCATTCCCATTTTGACCGACTGACGTGGCCCTGAAAGAATTGGAGTGGCTATTTTTGGAACTGCAACGATGTAAACTCATTTTTATGTGCGAGATAAGCTGGTGCAAGTCATCCATTCATCCACTCGTTTTTGTTTTGTTACCAGGCGCCCCCCATAAAGCTTTGTCTTGTCTTGTATTTATTATCATCTGCCGCTGATTTATGTATTTTTTCTTCTTTTTTTTCTTTTTGTCAGTTTTTTTTTTGTAAAACTAGAGCGAGGCTAATCTCTTGCTGCAATTGACGCAAATTGATTTTGCACTCGAAATCGAACGTTCTCCCTTGGCTTCGATTCATGTTTATTCCCATTTTGTATGAGCTGTTCCGAAAAAGGAAAGAACGTGCCGGGTTCTACGATGCAAAAAACGTGATCGCTTCAAAGTCATGATCCCCTAGGAGGTTAGTGGGTTTTTTTTTTCCAGAGAGCATCTTATTCATAACTAGCTCATCCAAGAGCCATGTGCTCATGAAAATCGTCAACGTGATATCCATGTCTCAAAGTGCAATTATATGCGTTTATGTAAAACGTATTGATTCTATAATTTCAAAGGTAATATAGGATTTTGTTTATATTTCACTAATTGTATTGGTTCGTAAAACCCACCTTACTTTTTGTATTCTAACATCAAAGAAAAGTATAAAAATTCCTCAATCAAAGGAAAATGACATAATGCTATTAAAAAGAAAGTCTACACCTTTCAAGATTGTTATTCTGATGCCTTATTTAATTGCCAATCTGAACACGATCGACTGGCTAAAACACAAGGCAGCCGTTGTTTTCTGTTTTCCTCAACGATACGGATCGTTTGGCTCGAATCAATCAAATTGTTTACACGCCCATAAATAATTATTCTTTTGTTTGTTTGTTGTTGCCCCGTCGGCTTGGCCTGTTGGTCAGGTTCTAATTTTATTTTCGCCAGCAATTGCCGCTCCTGCTTTTGTTTTCAGCCGATGCCTGGAATTATTTGGGTCCCGACCCCCAGATTATCGGATTTCTCAGCTTTATCAGCGGCTCGCGCCATTCACATGTTTGTGGCACTATTTTTAGACGCAGTTTGCAAATAAAATCATTCACACACCAAATGACAATCAGCAGAAATTCACAATTCACAGGTTGATAGCCCCTAGCTGAGTGCAGAATATTTGAAAAACAAACTTAATAGTTGGTGAGACCTCTAAAAATGGGAGCACTTGCGGTTCAATTTGTTGCCATGCCAGGACACTTTGATTTTGTAGTAATCATTCAAAAATAAAAATGAATAATCTCGGTTTTTTTTTTGGTTTTTGGGTTTATCACTTGGTGGTCTCCCAATTGCCATTTGGGAAACCTTTATCGCTACCCAATTCGCAGAAGCAATCACTTAAAATTAAGTGCTTTATTGCTTCATAGAAAGTTCTCATAAAATCGTAATTCCCAATATTTCTCATCGGGTTATCATTTATAAATCGTGACGTTTGTCGGTCAGGCCATGCTCACGATTATCAGCAATTGAATCTGTTTGAATTACGAGGAAAGTTTTCAAACATTCTGATGAGAGTCGTTTCCGGTAGGTTGTCATCTTCCTAGATTATTCAATTCTCGTAGAAAAAAATTCAATTGCCAGTTTGTTACACTTTGGCGTCACATTATTGCCGGAAATTCCACCGAATATTATGTTTTACTTTCCTAATGAATCATTCTATTTCCTGAGATCAAAGGGCTTCTTGTTTTAACAACAAATTCCTCAGTATTTATTTACGCACGAGTGTTTTTAATCAGAATCTGCGGTATTAATTGGGTTATTTGGTTATTTCCCAGCACTTGGCTTATGCACTCCCTATTTGCCTGAGTTTTTCATGGGGATAAACCACAAATTGACATATTTAGATATTGTTGGACAGACAGTGACTACAGCTGGTTAAACACTTGGTTTAACTTGTGGCTTACACGTTTTTTGCGTTTCTCGAAAGTAAAGTCAAACACTGAACCCCAAACAAAAGTACAATGGGAAACGCTCAAAGCTTATGAAACATTCTACAAAGATATCGAAGTTAACACACACTTCACTTTGAGTTCAGACAAATTGAAGGGCACTTCATAGAGGTGAAAATGAATAAATGTAATTCAAAACTTTGAAAATGAAGAATTCAAGTCAAATAAAGAGCAAGTTCAATGCTCTTCAATGAATTAAATGCTGTAGACGATAAGTTGAAATGCAAAACTGATCTCGCCCATTTTGATTACCAAATTCATTGATTTATTTTCAATTTCCAAGGAGATTCTGGGGAAATACAGGTGGGTATTTCGATTCTTGAGAAATCCTTAAAAATGCGTTTTGCTCTACATTAATCAATGCCGATTCCATTAAAGACTCGCAGCTAGATTTAAAGATAACAATTCTAATTTTAGTTCCCCAGCTGAGCATTTAATTGTTTGAGCGGCGCCAAGCTGGCGTTTATAGTTCGCTCTTCGCTACATATATGATTTCTATATGATCGACGACTATACTATACGATTGCAAATACTCCCACATGGGGAACATGTTAATGAGGAACGCTTTTATTTCGGCGCTTTGCTGGTCTTCGTTTTTTCTTCGTTTTGTTGACTGAGCTTAATACTGTGACGTCAGGTAAGTCATTGAGCTATAATTTAATAGCAAACGAGACTACTCTGTCTGGCGAGTAACAACAAAAAAAGACAAAAAGCAAACAAAAAACTATAGCAAACATTCTGCGGAGTATGATTGAAATCCAAACAAGAGGAAGAGAAGTCAGCGGAGCTACCTGAGCGCAATATTAAGTTACTATACACTTATGACGAGCGATTCCGAATCCGAATCTGAATCTGAATCCGACTTCGAATCCGATTCTGAGCCAGTCCAGTCAGCTACGATAAAGTCGCGAGATTAAAAAAGTCAAGTGACAAGACAACCAAGTGCGTCAATCGCCGAGGCAAAATACAATAAAATCGAAAAAAAAATGTGAAACAATACGGTGACGGAGTACAAAAGTCCGTTGATGGAGACCCGGCTGCATTGGTGGCATCTTGGTTTTATTTTCCGAGCTCTGGGCTCCGTCATCTGGGTTCTTTGTCTGCCCAAAAGCCACGGGTGCGTGCAGATGGCCCATCCGCATCCACATCCACATCCACATCCCTCCATTCAAATGGAGGAGCCCCCTGAAGTCAACGAGGCTGAAGTCGTGACAAAGAAATTTCGTTTGACGTCAGGCCTACGATGATGATGATCAGGGTCTGGAACCGCCGGGTCGGGCCGGGCTTCTCATTTATGGTCTGCCTTAAAGTTGGGATCTCTGATTATTCACTCAAGTGGGAAGTGCCATTTGAATCGAGATGCGCGACGCCAGTAATATCGCTTAATTGAAGTGCAGCCCCAGCAATGCAATGCACTGCAGAATGGGGGGAAATTTTTAAGGGATGTATACTTAATATTCAATTCAATCGGGATTGTTTTTGGAAATTAAGAGCCGTTATATACTTATTTTTGTTTCCTCAATTTAAGGTTGTAAAAATATAAGAAATAAAATGGGAAGGTTTTACAAAGGAAACAATTTTTCACCTTATTAATAAACAAATAAAAATACTCATTAAGTTGTCTAAAAGATAGAAACATAAATATAATACATACAAATTATATAAGTTACTTAAAATTATATTAATTATTTTTTGCTTCTCATCCAAAATTTCATCTATCTTAAATTTATACATTATAAAAAATATGGTATCCTAACCTTTTATAATAGTTCTTGGCTGTTTAAACCAGAAGCTGCCTATTTTATTTATAGAACAATACGATAATTCCTCGGTTGACAATTACGAACCTGGTTTTTTATCGACGACTGTAATTGTAATATGTGAGCAGCTAGTTGCCCGACTTATTATTAATCGCTTCAGTAATCGGTGTAGTAATTATAGCCAGAACGGTGTTGTCGGGGAAATGGCTCGTGGTCGCCGGATCACGTGCCCTGGAAACAATAGTTACTCATACGCCACGTTGCCGCCCGCAGACGAAAGTTTCAATGCATTTCGCTTCCCAAGTTTCCCAAGCAATTACCATATGCTGGCTTTTGCATTACAATGAAGACGACTGCTGTCCGTCCGCTGACGCATTTTACATGTGGGTTACAAGAGGAGAATTCTAAAGGGGCTAAAATGCAACTCGAACTCGGGGTTTGTATGTCACTCAAACTCGGACTGACGCACGCATCTCGATGGGCCTCGTCGAATTGGGAGCGGGAATGGATCTGTACCGAAATCCACAATAAATATGCGCATAATCGTATAGCATGACCAATTATATATTCATCGGACGATGGCCATGAACTCACGGGTTCTGCAAGATATAAAAAATTGGTGCAGATTTCGGCTTTCGGTTTGCATAATACCCGCGCACCCAAAGAAGTTGCGCAGTTGGCGGGATTTGCAATTCAGATCGCTCCGGGAATTTCTCCAAGTTCAACCACAGCTGCGGGGAAAATAAAAGAAGTCGAGACGGTTCAATGTCTGACCTTAGATGGCGCCATTTGTCTGTCCTCCGGTTCCTCCCGCTCTCGGGACTCCAAGATCATTCTTTTGCGACTCGCCTCGCCACAACAAAAGATCTGATGTTGTTTTTATCGTCTAGGATTCTAAGCGTTCTCCTTCTGCTTCTAATGTATTCGCTTTCAGTTGTTTTCCCTTTCTTTGCAAAGTGAAATTCTGTGTAAACAATAGTTGGATTCGCACTTTGTCGAGCCCTCCGGAATAGAAATCCGATCGACGCATTTGAAATTCCTTGTTTACTATATAGTAAGCTTTGGATTAATCTCAAAATGGGTTTGGTAGAATCACGATGATATTTACATTCAATCATTCAATGTGACGTAGGTATGAGAAATGGGATGGGATTTTTCCCATCTTGACAATTTAGTTATTGATTGTCTGAAGGTTAAGAACCTGGACTTTAAATATAATTGAATGGAAATTCAATTTGATCGCAATATTTGTTTGATTTTGTTATTTTTAGGCTTTTAGAATAAATTTACAACATCATAGTGATTTCAAGTAAAATAAACCGAGGACAAGGGGACTTTTTAATATTGTGGTTTTATGTATCATTTTAAGTTCAATGCCTTACAAATTATTCTCTCTCTGTGATTTATTAAAAATTACCAAGGGAACCCCTTTTTAGATGATTACCACTGTTTCCTTCCTATATTTCTATAACATTTTTTTATCGCTCCCAGCAGCTCAACCCCGAAATATCCGCTAGCTAAACGGTCTTAAATGCCTTATAAACATGATAAGTGTAGACACGTTTTTTAGATAAAAACTACAAGTTACAAGTTCCCCCAAGCATGAACTTGAAGTCTAATAATTGTTATATAAATTTAAATGAAATAAAAGTGCCATTTTAATGAAAGTAAACTTATGACCACTTTGCTGAAGTTATTCTTCGAAATATAATAAAAATGTAATCGAGGGAACCCCTTTTAAGTAAGATCACTGAGACAATCAAATAAGTTATACTCTACTCGTAATTTTTATATTGCAATGAATAAAAATTGCCCTTTGAGATCTTCTGTTTGCTCTGTGATTTGGATGTATTAAACCATATTCCCTCCTACTTTTCTTGATCACTTCCAGCGGCTCATTCCTGATATATCCAGAAGGCAACTTTGATGGAGCTCTGTTCTTCGGAGGAGAACACACATCTCTTCGGCTCCCGTTGGCGCTCTCGTTTTCTTTTCTCCGAAGAGCGGGAAAGTTCCCCCAGTGATCAAGAGTGACTCTCAAGTACTCCGAATCCCAGAGAGCAGTTCGCACTTCGTTGAAATTCACGAATCGAAACGAAGACCGCCGATCGCCGAGCGTTAATCACAAAACTGGCTGCCATATGGCGAAACCAGTTAGTCGCCTCCGAAGCAGCCAGAGAACATAACGCCGGATCCACCTCCGCCGATTCCTCGCGATCGTCAGTGCTATATACACCCAGCTCCCAAAGCGGGACAGAGCGATAAAGATAAAAAGTGCAAAAACAAAGCGCACTGCGGATAAAGATAACGAAGTTCCCAGTGCAAGTGAAGTGAAACGAGAACGCAGTTTTCCAATAGGAAATAGAGATATAGAAAATCCGAGAGTCGGAGTCAGAATGCAAATGTGTCGAGCATAAAAAAAATATATATCTACAAGTTCCCGAACGATAAACACACACACTGAGACACTCGACTACAGTGCCAATCCAGCCAAGTGAAACCAAGTGGCGACCAGCGATCTCCGAATGACTATGACTTCAACGGTGCTCCAGCGGCCAATTCAAGCCAAATCTGAGATCAGGCACCACCAGTCCGGCGTTGCGGCCAAGACCCCCAAGTCCACAAACTCCAACAGAAGCCGATCCACGATGGCCTGGTCCAATGAGAAGCTGCGCTTCTCCTGCATCGACAACATTGGCCTCAAGCAGCTGTGGAAACTGATTGCCTTGGACACCAGTGCCCCATCCAAGCAGCGAACTCAAATAATGCTGGATGTGGAGCAGCAGCAACAGCAGCAACAGCAGCAGCAATCGAACAATAACAACGAGGTAAGTGGCCGAAAGAAAAGAAAGCTTGTAAGACATAAGCAAACCACGAGTGACGTCAATCGAGGATTGGGGGCAACGCATCCACATCCGCGTAGAAAGCCAACTTGCAGAGAAAGTGACCAAAAAATAAAACCAAGGCAGACAAAAAGCTTTAACAGTTACGCGGCGGGGTCGTGTGTAAACTCCGACTCCGACTCCGGGTCTTGAATGACGTCTGTTTGTTGCTGAAATATTGTTGAAACAACTGTGGGACCCACCCAACCACTGAACCACCCAGCCAGCCAAGCAACCACCACCCAGTCACCCACCGAAATATGCGAAATGCAAACTGAGTGTGGGAGATCTGTTGCACAGATAAAAAAGTAGCGAGCTACTTTGATCGGTTAAAAATAGGAAAAATTTATAAACAACTTGTTTGTATTTTTTTATAAAGGGAACATTATCTAAAATAAGCGTATTAAATCATTTTGACATGCTATGCGATTAATACATTATTTTAATACATTGTTTGTGGTCTTAATTTGGTTTCATGAACACCTATCTTTTTTGAATATTTATGTTATTAGAGGAAAGCTTAATAACGAATTGGGTTTTTCTTATTTTCATTTTAAATATAGATAAATATAGAACAGTATGGAATATATAATATATTAAATTATAGAATTTACATATTCTGCATATTGAAACGATTCAGAAAACATCGGCTAGATCAGCAAACTATTTTTAATTTTTTCCTGTGGCTGTGGCTCTGGCTGGAATTCCAATAATCCACGTAACGCCAATTTACATACTGCGACGGGTCCGCGCTAATTAAAGCCCAACAAAAAGAGACCCGTAAACGTAACTCAGCCGGACACGGCCAGTTATGATCACACATCTGTCAACAGATTGAGACGTGGACTCCTCCTCAAAGGCGCCTCATGTCCGCCAGCGGACAATCGAATCGATTCATTTCATTGCGTTTTATTAAAGACAATTGATTCGTTGACAAAAGACCAGAGACAGTGAAGGAGATCCATTTCCCCTTTTGAGTCCTTATTTTTTCTTGGGAATCAAATCTTTTTGTTTTAGCTGCCAGGTTTATTGCCTTCAGCCGCTGTTTCTCTCAGTGATTCTCTAACTGAGCACTCTTAAGTATTTCAAGTGTCAAGTGCATACAACCTACACTCGTTTTGGCCTCAGTCATTATCGGTTAATTTCGGCCATTTTAATATTTTGGTGGTCCAAGATCAAGGCTTCCGACAAGAGCGAAGGTTAGGAGCTCTGAGATCAGGTTTGGGGGCCACTAATCTAGTTTTTATTTCGAGCCACGGGTGTTCCCCCTAATCCCCGTCATCTTAGTTGTGTCGCCAAGTATAATCGGTTTGAATTGGCTTTAGTCAGACGGCAAATGCCAAACTTTCGCAGAGTGATTCACGTGGATTTTCGTGTAAGCGCGATGAATGCACTGTAAGGGAATAACGTTATTCATATTGACGCATATCGGATCGGAGGAGCTCCACATGGATCCGGTTTTCTTCTGGCTAACCGTTACTCATGACCGGCGGGCCATTAGAATTGCGACTTAAAACGATGGTGCGACTAGAAGAGAGTGTGATGGCTGGTCCAAGTTTTCTGCTCAGATAGCTTCTGTCCGCCGGGCAGACGGATCTAACCCTCTGCCGATGGGTCGACCATTGCGATATTATTATTATATTATTTTTTTTGATTTAAGCCAACCTGTTTGAACACCCTTCCTGGCGAGCCCCTCGCCCTCCGATCGCTTTGGATTGACGTCAATGCAAATAAACTCCCCAGTGGACCGAGACTATCGATATATCGATGATACCCCAAGTCAGACAGTCTGGGCCAAGATCGTGGCACCCGTCTCGGCATCCCGGTCTTTATAATGTCAGGGTTGTGTTCTACAAAACCTGCGAAGGCTGCTTCAGCAACTGAGTCACGCCCACCGAAGGGGGGGAATTCAGGGGGGAGAAACCAGTTTCGGGGGCATGTTGCAGGTTCAGGGTCAAGATTCGCAGGGTGGACCTCAACATAGGTTGCCACCCAAGAACATCCGAAGTACAACAAACAATTTGGCAGGTTGATTTTTTGTTTAATTAACAGCTCAGCCAAAGCGCCTTGACGTCACGCGCATAAATTGATTAAAGCAAAGTTTTTTTTTTTTTTTTTGCCTCTTTTGTGTGCTTTAATTTTTTTTGTTGCTATTCTGTTTCTGTCGGTTAACACGTTCGTCCGGCGGCTATAGCAAATGTTAAGTAGTCATAAATAAACACTACTAAACTGTGTGCTTAGTTAAACGCCACGATGTTAAAAAACCTAAAAATAAAAGCCGGCCCCGAAAAGGCGGCCAAAACGCATTGAGAACCCGATCTCGAACTCGAAGTCGCATTTGAACCTCAATAAAGGCGAACCGAGTCGCTCAAGCGAGAAATGCTGTAATTTTTTGTTTTTTTTTTCGCCCATGTCAGAGTTAAAGTTAATTGTTGTTTTGCTCACGTTGCGGTTTTGCTTTTTGGTTTCCATCTGTCACAAGGGATTTTCGCTGAGGTTTTCCCTGAGCGATTTCCACCGAGATGCTGTCGCATACACGAGTGCACAGAATCCAGACGGTGAGATAATTAAAAGCATGTAATAGCACATAAAAGTGAAGTAATGCCGTGTGGTAATCCACCCAAGATTCTCCCACAGTGTGACGCACTTTAGGTGATCCAAATTAATGCCACGGTGCTAATTTCGACCAGGTGGTGTACGTGCAAAAATGTGCGAATATCGTCTATAGAACGGGCCTGTTTAGCCAATCTGTAGTAAACTCAGTTGTAAAACGAGTAGTAGTCAATGAATAAAAGCCGCTGACGTCGATTAGCTCGATCGTTGCTATAATTAAATACCCGTTAACTCCGGATCGTAATGTGTAACTCTCGATAAAGGTCGGTGCTGACGACACGAGCGTCGAACCTCGAATGCTGGTTAATGGAATTCGATAGGCCAACCCCAATCGAATGTGACATCTTATTAGCGCCTAATTAAAACATAATGGCCGGGTTTTCGATCGAAGATCGCCTTACCTGGTTATTGGAAATGAGTTCCAGCCAGAACAGGCCTCCGAAATTACCATAAGGTATTGCCATTCTGGTATCCAAATTTCACAATCCAATCGCAGAGCTCTGAGGTCATAAAAAATCGTGTTTGCCAGCTGATTAGGCGCCACTCATTATCTGTTAGCCGTATCTTTGTGGGCCTTAAAGCCGGGTATTTCGCACCCTCCAATCAAATATTTGCCAACCGCTAACTGCCGCAAAATGATAAGACCAAGATCAGACCATATATCTGATAAGGAGCGATGACCCTGGCATCGGGTGTTCACTGTGGCCATCCACCCTTTACGCGTGATGAATTTGTGCCACATATGCAAATTTACCAACTTACTTACGTAAAGATCGCATTCGCAATCCATTCGCAATCACAATCGCAATCCGGGCAATGTTATGAACCCAAGATTACGGCTGTTTAGATGGGATTTCTGCTACGAAAAAGACGCAGTGTTATCTGAACAATTAAGATACGATAATTAAGAGATAGTGGCGAGAGATAGCGAGGCGAAAAAAACAAGAGCAGAAGCCATTTAAGATGACGGGGGCAAAAACAAGTTCCAAGGCATTTACCTTAATTAGTCAATTAATCAAAGCGGTGGAGTGAGGATCAGATCGGATTGGTTTTGGTTTGGCTTGGATCGCCTTCTACGCTGACAGGTCGTTATTTGTTATGGCCCAATGCTTATGGCTCAATTCGCAGAGCCAACACAAACAGAATCACAGAATCGGGCGACAAACAACGCGGCCAACAAAAACAAACGCCAACTTTGCATACTAAGTGGCTCATTAGGGACACGGCAATCCCGCGGTTCGGTCGTAAACCACACACGACGTCCCATCAACTTGCTCCGTCTTTTTATATAAGCATAAACAAATCGCGCCGCCTAGAATATTTGTGCCGTTTGCCGATGCATTCGGTTTGAATGGTTAATTAACACTTTCGTGAGTCACAATTGGAAAATAAATCTCGAATTGATTTTGACGAATGCAATACACTTGAAAACTTTCCTACCACACTTTGTGCTAATATAAATATTTATTTATAATTTGTTATTTATTTATTTATTTACTTATGAATTTTCTCGATTCTTTTCATTGCAGCGCATTCCCTATGAGAACTGCGACAACTTGGCCGACTATTTGAGTCTACAAAGAGCGGCCCAGGCTCAGAAGAATCACATCCCATCTCCGGCTCCGGCTGAGATGTCCCTGCTGAAGTTCTTGGCCATTGTAAGTACCCCTTGTTGTTGTTAACATTAAAACCCGTGTCAATTGGACAGAAAGTTTCCATCGACGCTTCCTGCTTAAAAAGCCTCGGACAATGCGCGATCGCTTGGGTTGGCGGGTTGCCTGCATAAATTTCACGTTTACGAGGCTGGGGCGTGGCACATCAGGCATCGGCATCGGCCGGGCAAATAAAATTTGTTTGATTATTTATAATCGCGGACAGACAGTAATGTTTCGCCCTGGCGAAAGAGCCCCGCAAACCCGTTCCCAGCTGCGATAACTGCCATTTATCAATGAATTCGTATTCGCATTCGTATTCCATTCTTACTAAGTTGGTTTTCTTTCTTTTGTTTCCAGAACGCCCTAGAGTTGAGTGCCCCAGCTACGCCGCATCTTCTCCAGCACCAGCAGACTCAGACGCAGGCGAAGCCACAGGGCTGGATGCAGCTTTCCGGTCACCCAGAGAGGTAAGGATCTTTAGTTAATATATTTAATAAAGGGAACTATTAAAAATAAATAAGAGAACAACGCAGTTTTACCTTGCTAAACATAATGCTTTATTCAAGATAGCTTTTTTACAAATCAGAATCATTTTTAAATGCAATATAGAGTATTATTTCTGTAAAGCACTTTGTATACATTCCCATTTTGTAGAGCTTGTTTATACCATTAAACAAATATGTTACCTAAAAATGATTATTTTACTAACTTGAAATTATTTTCTTTTTTTTCAGCATTGTTCCCACATCAACCGGAATAGTGCGCAAACGCATCACAGGTTTCGATGACAACGAGATGCATGCCTACCAACTGATCTGCCAGGAACCACAGACCGCCCAGATCGTTCCCGCCTACTATGGAATGCAGGAGATTCAGGCGCAGCACTACATTGAGCTGCAGGATCTGCTGTCCGGGTTCAGGGATCCCTGCGTGATGGACATCAAGATGGGCAGTCGCACCTTCCTCGAATCGGAGGTCAGCAATGCCACACTGCGACCAGATCTCTACCAGAAAATGATCGCTGTGGATGCGGGAGCTCCGACGCCGGCGGAGCACGAAGCTCGAGCGATCACCAAGCTGCGCTACATGACCTTCCGGGAATCGCTGTCCTCCTCGCACTCCAAGGGCTTCCGGATCGAAGCGCTGCGCCTGCGCGGACGACAGCCAGTCAAGGATTTGAAGACCTGCCGGAGCAGCGAGCAGATTGCCCAGACTATTGAACAGTTCCTGGCCGCCAGGCGATCCGTGCAGAAGGAGCTGCTGAAGCGACTGAAGCACATGCGCCTGGTCATCGAGCAATCGGCCTTCTTTGCCCGCCACGAGATCGTTGGCTCCAGCATTTTCATCGTTTACGATGATGACAAGGTCGGCGTTTGGCTGATTGACTTTGCCAAGTGCCGGGAGCTGCCACCTCAGATCAGAGTGGATCATCGCAGTCCGTGGGCACCGGGCAACCGGGAGGAGGGTCTGCTCCGCGGAATGGACGAGCTCATCCGCTCCTTCGAGGAGGTCTACGCCCGCTGTGGTTCGCATCGCAGCTGCCTCAAAATCTAATGGATTGATCGATGGCATTAGCAGCTGGATCTGCACCAAAAGACTGATCACCAAGCTCCATTTGTACAGAGAAAAGAAAAGAGGATTCATCGCATCGCCCGGGCTGAGATCCACCCTATATTATATATTTGTTCCATATTGGAAAACTACGACTTCAGCTCGGGAACCCCTAGAATGTTTAAGACTAGCTGGAGGAGATAATAACGATTAGTATTGACCACCAAGCAGCATTTGTTTGATTGAAACAGGTTTAAACTAAGTATTTGTGAAAAAAATCAAAATATGAACACAAAAAATAAAATATGTTAAGAAAATTAAATCTCCTTTGTTGCCTTTATTGTATGGGCTGTTGAAAATGTGTTAAACATATGTTCAAATCGTATAATTTTTTATATAAATGGCTGATAGTCTCTTAATGCAATATTTAAAAAAACCGGGAGTCACTGTTTTAAAAATTTAATAATAACTTTAAAATATAAATACCATTCGAAAAAACACAACTTGAAAGTAAAATGCCCAACCATTTATGTAGGAATGGGTACTCTGCAAATATTTTTTAAACTCCCGCCAAAAATGAGATTAACAGCGTGCTGTTAGAATGTAAGACTGTTAACATTAGGTATTTTTAGTATTTTTGGCGGGAACAATGAAAAGTGGTTTTAATTGTTATACCCAAAAGTGGTCTCTCTGGCGGTTTGTTGTTAACGTGTTTTCGTGCAATTTAAGGATGAATACAATTCGTCCTTGTGGATGCAAGGGTGTTCGCACCTGTTTGAGCTGCGAGCAGGATTTTAAGATAGCCAAGCCCTCGCTGCAGGAGCAGTTCCAGCAGCTGGACCCCTGGACCTACTGCGTTCACTGCGAACTTTTGCAGCCGGGTTGGGATACAACTAAAGTTCAAAAAGAACATGATGATCACAAAAAGGACGAAGGACTGGCTCTGCCAGGTGTCCTGGTGCAGGAGGTATTCCTTAACGAGGAGGAGGGATCTCAACTGATAGCCGACTTGGACGCGTTGCCTTGGGACATATCGCAGAGCGGCCGCCGCAAACAGAATTTTGGACCCAAGACAAACTTCAAAAAGCGCAAGCTCCAGGTTGGATCTTTTGCCGGATTCCCGAAAACCACAGAGTACGTGCAGCGGCGCTTTGAGGAAGTTCCCGTGCTGCGCGGCTTTCAGACCATTGAACAGTGTTCACTGGAGTACGAGCCCAGCAAAGGAGCCAGTATAGATCCCCATGTGGACGACTGCTGGATTTGGGGTGAACGTGTGGTCACTGTTAACTGCCTTGGCGACGCTGTGCTTACCCTCACGCCCTACGAAGTCCAGCAGGCGGGAAAGTACAACCTTGATTTGGTGCCGCACTACGAAAAAGAGCTATTGGAACCACTTTTAAAGGAGGAACAACTGGCCAAATATGAAGGAAAGGTGTTGCGCATTCCCATGCCCAAGTATGTTATTATATATGTATTTTTTTCTTCTGCCGCCTTACTAAACCTTTACTTGCTTTTTAGCCTCTCTCTGATTGTTTTGTATGGTCCTGCCAGGTATCAATTTGAACATTCTGTGCTTCGCGAAGATGTTCAGGAACGTCGCGTTTGCATAGCCTACAGAGAGTTCACACCAATGTATATCAACGGTGAAGATATACAGAAAGGAGATCCAGTGCGGGAAAAGTCACAGCTTTTCTGGGAAGTTAACTAGCAAGCGGATTGTGTGATTAATAATGACTATTGATTTTCTGTAGAAAGTAAACGAAACAAGAGCTTGTGTAAATATTAAACCATAAATCTACTTTATTAAGTGCTGGAAGTGTCTTTATCCGCGGTGGCTGGTCTGTAATCTAATAGAGCCACCTGAGCAGGTAACTGCACTCCGTGGATTTTCTTTAAATGAGCCCTCAGGTTGCTGCTGGTGCTAAAGCTGTTAGAACAGACGACGCACTGGTGATGCGAATGCTTCCGACGAATATGCTCGTTGAGATCGCGCACCTTGGCAAAAGCCGTGGTGCAATACTTGCAGACGTGGGAGTTGCGCACATGGGTTTTTAAATACTGGGGTGAAGCGTAGGCCAGTGGGCAGTACTGGCACTTGTAGATGGCCTGGCTGCCACTGGGTTCCACGTCCATCAGTAGATTGGTCTCGTTGTATTCGTCAAGGTTGTAGTGCTTGAGTTCAACAGCTGCATAGTCCACTGTGCGCATTTCGTATGCGGGCGGCTCAAGCTGCTGTAGACGGGAATCGGAGAGATCCAGACGCGGTTGAGCTGTGGTTGCAGGAAGAAATTCGGACACAATCAACGAATCTTGGTTGGCTAACTTCTGTGAGGGTTTTGGCACAGTGTCAGAGATTCTTTCCGTTTCTTCTGAATCTTTTGGGGGCTCGGGCTCTACAACAATAATATCTTCCGGTTGAATCTCATCCCAGCTCCCGAGGTCCTCTCCTATTTGCGTTTCGTGCTGCTCCTCTTCCCAAATCTCCACTTGTTGACATGTTTCCAACTGCGCCTCATTGTACAACTGAAGGAGCTGTTGGTTGGCGAATTCAAGCTTTCGGAAAAATGCATAGTGTTGCTGGCACTCCTTCAGGCAGTTATTACAGATCATGGGAAGCTCCTCAGTCAGATTAAGAAATATATTCTGGAGAAGTTAGATGTAAGGTTTGATGTTACATTCAGTTAAGTGGACATACCCCGTCGAACATGGCTTGAATCAGCTCGAGAACCGTGTGATCCGAACTACCATTGCTACGGTGCTCTCTGATGTCCACCGCGGCGCTGTCCACAAAGCAAATCCGACACAATTTACGTAAATCCATTGCAACCTGTTTGTAACCCAAAAATGTAAACAGACAATAGTGTGGCTGCAGATTTGTGAGGCACAACATGCCGCCGAACAAAGTAAGGAATTCCCTTTTATAAAACTTATTAAGTATATTTTAGTATTTTTTATGAGTGACCCGTTACTTTTTGAATTCAAAATTTGTAGCAAAACGGGAAATGAAAAATAATACCTTCCAAATTTTGAAATAAAGAAAAACATTTGTATTCTCTTTTCAAAATAAATTTTTATTCAGTTTTTGTGTTTTTGTTGCAATCATGTCTCTCGATTTTTAATATTAATTTGTTTAATCTTTAAATCATTTAATTCCTTTGTTTTTCACTTACAATTAATTATTATCGTCAATGTGACGAAAGTTATTTGTCTGCCAATAATACTTATCGACAACAGACTTCTTGCTAATTTTTTGTTTTCTGTTTTAGCCATTTGTTTTTACATGCATAATTTTTGGGAAGATTTTATGGTTTTTTTTCGCGTTTGGCAATCGACAGAAATTCAGTAACGGTTTTATAATTATGCAATTAACTATTTAAATTGATGTGGTAGTTAGGCTTTGGGACACAGGCGGAGGTTTGGATTTGGATACGGATTCGGGTTGGTTAGCAGGCTTCTGCTCGGGCGAGTTTAGTGCTAAACATTTGCAGTTTATAGACTAAGTTTTTCTTGTCGTTTAGTTAAATGCTAATTTTATATATATTTGCATTGTTTAAAAAAGTGTCTCGAATCGGTTCATTTAATGCGCTATTTATTGTTGAACTCTGTTTAATTGCCCTGGGGGTTGAGAACATGCGGAGTGCAATTGAAACGAAAATCGAACTCTTCGGTTTGCTGATTTCTTGATTCTTTATTTTGTAATACGAACAATTCGAATGCTTCATGTCTGACTGTGTGTGTGGGCGTGTACCAACCTTTTTCGTTTTGTAATTAGCTTTTTGCATTTCGCGATTGCGTGTAACTCTGATCAGAGGAAATTAGTTATTACTTGCAAAGTAAGTAAGTAGTAAGTAAGTAGTAGAGTTTTCAAATGAAAAAACATTTTCTTTACTACAAGTTTGCTTTTGCGGTAATTTCATTTCTTTCTCATTCATTATTAAATTCGTTTATCGTTTTAGTTTTCTTTTCACCCTCCACTCGTTATCTCGTTATTTCGGGTAATCGCGTAGGTTGACCTCTCCTAATGTAGGACGCTTAGTTTATGGCTCCTTCTGCAGGTCACCTCATTTTTTATAATTGCCTAGTTAACGCTATATTATTATTACTTGTATTATACATAATCTCGTACATGTAGAGTTCAATCTTTTAAAGAGTGTAGAAAATGGTTTGCTTTTTAAAACAGCTTCTTTTTATCAAAAAGACATCCATACACATATACATAGTTCTAATTATGCGCCTAGCTGCTCAAAGATTAGCACTAAATTAATTATAAAAAAAATTAAATTTAAAATGCACACACCCTCCTCGACTCCATCTCTCCGTTTCCTAGATTCTGATTCTGATTCTGATTCTTATTCGGATTCTCATACTCCTTTCGATACCGCTTTAAACTCAAGATCGCAATTTCAATTTGAATCGGATTTCGCACTCGAATTTGACTAACGTTCGAAAAACAACAACCTCATGGGGACAGAGCAGTTTTCGGTAGGATTACGCATAAGTAAAAGTCGTCTCATATCAAATCTAAATTTAAATGTAAATGTAAATGCAAATAAAACATACAAAGTGAGTGTATACACATATAACGCTTAGATCTGATCTGCAGTTCCTTCAGTTGATTCAGCACTCGATTGGGTTCCTTTCGACAGCGCGGGTTTAGCTTTATAGGGCCGATCTGATTTTCGTTAAGTAAACTTTTCGTCTGGCTATCAAAAGTGGTTCGTCACACAATTCTGTTAGAAATTCTCTTTTTGGCAGGACAACGCAAAGGAGGATTACTTTTTTTGGGACAGAGGAGTGCGATTAACTCGGCAGTGTTGCTATGCATCTTCGTCCTTTCGATAATTATCGATTTATAACTGATCGCTCGTCGACATTTTTCGTCTCACTTAACAAGGAGGTAGGTTTTTCATTGATTTTGGTTTTGTGTGTAGAAAAAATTCACGTTTAAAGGTTTCTTAGGTGGGTTCCGGAAAGTGTGTTCGAGTTTGAGTTCGTCTTTTGGGGGCTATACCGTAAATATCACTGTTTGCTTTGTGTGAGGGGAAAGCAGAGTAAAAGGTAGACAAAATTCGAAGCTCGTTTCTAGGAATACACAGGGATATAGACAGAGAGAACTTATCCGAAAACTATGCAAAATTTCCAACAAAATTGTGATTTGTTTCTTGTGATTTCGAGTGGCTTTTGAGTTGGGTTGGTTGGTTGATTGGTTGTTTAGTTGGTTAGTTTAGTGGGGTTCTGTTCTTGCGCTGCTTTGCTTTTGCTTAGTGTCTTTAGTTTTGCTCGTTTCCGTATCGTTTTATTAAAAATATATCCATATATATATGTGTATGTATATATGCGGTGATATATGTGTCATAAAATATATATACACCTGTTCATCTTGTATTGCTAGTTCGGTTTTGGTTTCTCTGGTTTTTCGATTTCCGTTTATTATTACTTTGACTAATTAATTGGTGACTATAACTCGGTTTGTTTCGCCCTCGGGTCGTTTGTCATTATGCTTACACAATTTGCTACAATATTTCAACAATAAATTTTCTAAAAACATGTTGTTCAGCGAACATACCTCCCCTCAATGTGTTCGTGAATGCGTCTTTTAAAAATTAATTCAATTCACTATGAGTATATGTGTGTATATATAGACCTTTGTTTATATTCATTATTATGTGTCAGTTTGTTACCATTTACAATCAGCTATCGTCCAAACAACTAGTTTAAAGCGTTCCAAAAGATGGAAGAACTAACCAAAATTAAATTTAAATGTCAAGAGAACCATTAAAGGTTTAAATTGTTGCGAAACGCAAAGGATCGAATGAAAGTGAAAGTAGGTTTCGTAAAAGTTTCTTCATTGGGATCATATTTTGTTTGCAAACTCGAATGAAGAAAATCAAACAAAATATTGTTGGTCCACGTGATCCCAAAATGAAAACAGAAGAGGAAAATATTGAAGCCAGAAAAAGCAGACAACAAAGGGTCATCAGGCCATAACGAAAACCTCCATAAACTCCCGTCCTTCTCCCGTTTACACTTTTCCTATGAATAAATGGTTTCTTTCCCTTGTTTTTGCATTTGTCAATTAAGTGCTTCAGTGTCTGTTCTGTACGTGAGTGTGTTGCCATTTTAAATACATATCTAATGTCTCATAGGAACAATCTCTTATATATATCATATATCTTAGGTGTATGCGTGTCTCTGTATCTGTGTGTCTGTCATCTGTTCATCATCTTACATAAATTATAACAACTCAGCATATTAATTAACTTATAACTCTGTTATTGTACATACAATTACCTAGATGTATGTGAATCTGTGTCTGTCTGTGTGAGTGGGTGTACATATATGTAACCTCTGTGTGTCCTGTCCCGCGATGTTTCCTTTGTTGTTCCTTTCGTCCTGCTCGTTTATCGTCTCCTTCCCTGGCTATTCCTATGCAAATTTTTGTTTCATTCCCTCTTGTTTGCTTAACTCTTATAATTTTGTGTGTGTATGTGTGTAGCTTACTTAACACTTTTTTTCGGTTCTTGTACGGCAGTAATTTTTGCTTTTTTGTTTGGTTTGTCCATAAAATATTCTTTTTTAGTACATGATTTTGTCTCGTTTTGTTTTCTTCTTGCGACATTTTCCTTTGCTCTTTTTTGGTTTTTACTTAAAAATGTAATTAACAATTTTTTATTTGTATTATTTTTTTGTAGTTTTTTTGTTTCGCTTTGTTTCGAAGCAGCTTCGCTAGTTTTGGGTTTTTGAAAAAAGAACTTAACTAGGCATCTTCCCCAGCGGGCGTTTCCATATCCGTAGCTTAATTGTCTAGGTCGAGCGTCCTTATTGCACGATTATGTGAGGAGCCGAGAGCAGCACGGTAACCGTTGCGATAATCGTGAAGAGCGTGAAAACAATTAAACAAAATCTGTGGAGTAGAAAATTAAGCAGAGCACTGCGTTAGCAAACAAAATGGGCATGAACTCCAAACAAAATGGCCGCCGAACGGTAGTCGGCCATCTTTCAATATTTGCGTCACGTGTGCATGTGTTTGTGAGCGTGTGTGTGGGAGTGGGGGTGTGAGTGTGAGTGTGTGGTGCATGCGTGAGCCTGCACGCGTCTGTGTGGCTTCATTCCGCCGGAAGTCGTGTGGCCTAATTGTTTGACTTGCCACACGGGCGGCCGTCGAATCCTGCCGGCTTTGGTTCAATAAGTTCACACCCAGTCGCGAGCACATATCTTCCAGTTCATAATTGAGCAAGCGATTTCGGTTATATGATTAACTACCGATTGGAAACTATATGGAGCTGAAATCGCTGTTCTTTTAAAAATCAGTAAACAGATTCTTTTATCCTATTTAAGAACTCCACAAGCAACACTTGATCAATAGTAAATTAAAAACCAATTTGCTCATTTGGAATTCGTTTTAGGGGGAAATTTAATTTTCTTTGCAAAATAAACTTGGATGTACGTTCATATTAAAACACAACCTATGGCTGTGTTGAGTGTGTTTAAAAAATCGATTTAGATTTTTTACTTTTATTTCAATAAATTATATAACTTTGGTTTTGTTATTTCAGCTTTTAAAACACCTAAATCACAAATTTTCTAAATAATATAAACTTACCTATCCACAACCATTGCCGCGAACTTCCAATCGCCAATCAATTCCGCTTCGTCGTCAGCTTTGCGCATGCGCGCCGTAATAAATTGCAATTCTTTGAGAATCAGGTGAAGATCTTTGTGATTGCAGCCGATGGCCGTGTGGTGCTCCTCCACCGTTGTGGGCCGGCCAAAGCTACTGCAGATTAACAAGCCAGGTTAATCCCAGGGCTAATATAACTAACGAAGAATAACTTAAACTTACGCTGATGAACCGATGGCGGTTTGGGAGCCCGATATTGTGTGCCGGAAGTCGTCGTCGATGTCGAGGACATTGGCCAGCAGGGACTTGGAGGAGCGCTCCTTCAGCTCCAGCTCCTTCATGCGATTGCTTAATAGTATTGTTTTGCGTGTGATCTTGCGGCCGGGTCGACCCATTCGCAAGATCCAGGGCAGCCATTGTAGGAAAACGGATTTGATCTGGGGAATTAATGGAGCGGAAATTAATCAGGCTGGGGAAATGGTGGGGATTAAATGGAGGTAGGTGTAACTCACCCACGGTGGCATCTCGTGGATGTCCGCTGTGCGATGGTGGTAGTTGAGCACCACTACTGTCAGCACCACCGACGATGCGACCATGAACATTATGCAGTTGAAGTAGGTGCCTATGGGTGGTGCGTGAGTTTGGGTTTTCGGATTTGCGGATTTGCAGATTTGCGGGGTGAACAGAGAGCAGAGAAAAATTCTATATTAATGTGGTGCTCCGGGGTTCCCTTCAAATCATCGAAACACTAAGAACGAAAGCTCGAAATAATAATTTACATAAATAGTACAACATTACTTTAGTTTAGCTTCATTTCATGAAAGACTTTGGTTAGAGTTACGATTAGAGAAAGTAGCGTGAGCAAGTTTACTGTGTTTTTACTCTAGGCTAATTTACGTTGCGGATGCTACTAAGTAATGTCTAATGAAAGCCACTACGTTCGAAGTTTACTCAATACTTTTAGGTTTCATTCGTAATCATGCAGTTTAGTGTAAACCGTTTTCACTGGGGATCATGCATGGAAATGGCTTTAGCGATTGGTTACAAAAGTTGAGCAAAGGACAGTTTTAATTGGTAATTTAATCTTTAAAAATTGTAATATTTTATAGATTTTAGAGATAATTGACTTCTTTAACATTTTCGTACGTCATTTCAATAAGTTTACTTTATCAAATTTTAAAGAATCTGTCTATTAAGATTTTTAAAGTTGAATAAGCACTTAGTTTTTAAGTAATTTATACGTTTTTTTGCTGAAAATGCAATTATAATGTGCTAAAAATATTTCTTTATTTAATATCTTTTCTGTCCTTTGCCCTTTCTACTCTCATAAAATAGAAAAAGCAAGCAATTTTGGTGTGGGCTTGGGTCATCGGTAATCTTTGCCTGGGTAAGTAGTAATTTTCAACTTGTTCTATTAAATGCTGGGAATAGATATTTTAATTGCTTGGGCGAACGCTTTAAGTGGGTTGCAATTGATTTAACGTCTCTGCAGTTTACTGTATGCTCTCTGAATATTTAATAGCGTTTTGACAATCGCTTCAATTAATTTATTGTTTTGAGTAGGCTTTTGATACTTGGGTGTGAGGAACAACGCCAAATTGCTAATTGCGAATACCTAAAGTGAAGAATTAAATATGTACAAAGTATTTCCGATTTGCGGCCGGGTGTTTCAGCAAAGCAAAGTTCACCCTGGAAAGCAAAATCGGAAATATATATAGTCGGGAAAGAATCGAGTGTGTTAGTTGGAGTTTGTCTCAGAGTCAAAGAGGTTCAGCCAAAAGTCTAAAGAAGCGGAGGTTGTTCGGTTGGGTTTCGGGTTAGTTTTTGGGTTCGGGGTTTCATTTGGGTTCCAAAAAATACTCTTGGTTCATCATCAGCATCTCGTGTTTATCCAGTTGGAATTGGATCATGCTCTTCATCGCTTAACATTCGTTTACCTACTTTAGTCGGTCTAGTTTGGTTTTTTACAAGATTCACTTTGATTTTTAGCGCAAACTTTCGTTATGTCTAAGGAGTACTTTGTACAATCGTTTTTTGGTTTTCATATTCAGTTTGATTTTATTTTGATTTATCAGCTAAAAGAGAGAAAAGTTTTGGTTGTTTTTAAAGCTCTAGAATTTTAATTTAGTTTTGGTTGGATTTTGATTGTTTTTCGAAATGATAAACTCAATGTTACAAACAAGTCAATTGGAATTTCTAATACCTAAGAGCGGTACGGCCTCGCTGGTTTTCGTAATGACATTGCCGACCAGCAGGGAGAAAACTGTTTGCGACAGTAGTATAGTGACACCTGCAAAATATTTAGTCGAATTTGGTCAAAATTTGGTTTTTGAGGATCAAGAATTGGGTTTCGTAAATCGCCGAAGTTCGTCCGTTCAGTGTCTTTTGGGGATTTGATTGAGTTGGTTGGGAAAAGGATAAGGATACGGAAGCGAACTCCAGATCAAAATCGATCGGTGTTCGCCTCCGACAAAAGCTTCGGGATTAGACTAAATGATATTTTTTGGCTGAACCTTCTCGCAGAGAACACAACACAACTTGACACACAAGACCATTAGGTCTTCAAGCATATATATTCATACTATATATTTAATATTAATTATTGTTTGTTGGTGGGGGAGAGTGCATGCCAAGTGGAGAGTGGCTATTACCGGTTATCTGAAAGCAAACGAATCCGCGACCCATTTCAACAAACAAACAAAATAAGCGGATCTCAGCGAAATGATATTTTTGCAATACCAGCTAGGCAATCGAGCGATCAGTATTTACATTCGACATTATTCAATTGGAAAATTGGACAGTTTTCACAGTTCACAGTTTTGAGTTCTCAAAAAGGTTCTCAAGCAAAAAATATCATTCCGAGAAATGGGTCAAACAGTAGTGTGATATCGAAGGTGAGTTCGCATAGAGGGGGGAATATAGATATATATATATATCGTATATGTGATCGGGGAATCGGGTGGATGGTTGGCACAGACAATAGCTAAGAAAGTGGTAAAGTAGCGTGTGTGGGTGGGTGGGTTCTTTTTGTGGGCGGTGGGTGGTTGGTGGTGGGTGGTCGAGGTCATGACTGAGAGTTTTTCTGTGTGACGGGTGAGCGAGCGATAACGATAACGATAACGAACGAGAACGAGCTTCAAGATGGTGTTTTGTAATTCATGGACAAACCGAGGGTGAAAAATATATATATAATATCTTTTTATTTTCTGTGGCGGTGATGGTGGAGCAATGCAAAATTCGATTAGCTATTCATGAACGAGTGAATTGGGTGGCGTGATGGTGAGAGTGAGAGAACCAAATCAAACACAAATCAAAGCTGTTTGGCAAAAAAGTCAAATCATACAATACAAGACATAAAACTTCTTTCTTTCTTTTCTTTTCTTTTCATTTAATTTATTTTTCTTTCGGTTGAGTGTCGGTGAGGACGACATCATCATTAGCATACTTCTGCATTTTCGTTTTCTTTTCACAAGTATTATCCCAAACTCACTTGCATTGAAATCTGTCTCATAAGTATCTTTTGTAATTACATATGGGTTGAAATTAAGGGAGTGGCGGTTTTTAAACAAAGCGAAAGAAGTACAAGCAAGGTGTACTGCAATACATAACGGTTAATATATAGTTCGGATATATGGTATACTTAATCGTATAATTGTATTTATTTTGCACAAGTTGAAAAATTACAGAAGGAACTTGCCAGGGCGAGGCTTCGATGCATTAGAAAAAGGTTTGAAATTGAAATTTTTGAGTACATTAATTGGAATTATTATTGAATGGAAGAATATATTTTTTGGATTCTATTACATCATTAAGGCATCGCTGGTTAAGTTCAGGGAATTGAGAGTATATATATTGAAAGGAATTTGATTGATCATCGGTGCGGCAGCGTTGCAATTCGATTGGTCGAACTTCAACGAGCTTGTGAGGTAGAAATTGAAGAGAAAGTGGAAACGGAAGTGGAGGAAGTATAGAACGGAAGTACATTATAGATAACGATAGCATTTAAAAGACAACCCTAACTTGTGTTCTTTGCTGGCTAGCTGGGGATTTGTTGTTCATCTAAGTTGACTTGAATAAGAAGCAAACCAAAAAGATTGTCGATTGTTCAAATGAAGATAGTAGGATATAGGCAGAGTGATAGAGAGAGATAGAGATTGAGATTGAGAGATATAGAGGCAACAGAATATAGTATGATCAACTAAGAACTGCTTCGATATATATTGATACATATTTGTATTTGATATTGATATTGATATATTGATAACTTCAAGTTCAGAACGATTTTTAGAAGATAGGGTGGGACAGAGAGAACGAGTTGGAATTAGAATTGATTTGGTTTAGTTTGGTTTGGTTTAGTTAAGTTAGTAAGTACTTAGCAAAGTTGTTGTAATTAGTAAACATAGTACGACGTACACAAATAACATTTAACAACTTTTAGTCACTTTAGTCACTTTTGAGTTGGATATTGATTGTTTGACTTGGTTGTTGGTTAGACTAATACTTTATTTAAGTTTAAGTTCGGTTTGGTTTCTTTTTGGCTTTGGTTTGTTTTGGGGATTATATATGCGAACAATTTAGCAATGTGTGTGAGTAATATAATCGTAATAGATATGTATATATATAGGTAACAACAATAACAATAATATTCATGAATATATATATGTAGTTTAGTTAGTTACATATATATGTATATATACGGCTATATATACACATATATTTAAAGGCGTGTACGTGTAAATCATATTAAGTACTTTGTTAATTATTCTTTGGTTTTTGTTTTGACAAATTTGAATATATATTTGCATTTGGTAAGTATGTTTTAAATGCAATCGCTACCTAACAAGGGGATTGCATCAGATACTTGGGGCAATGTCTCAGCTACAAGGTTGAGAAACACTGTGAGCGATAGAAGAATTGTAACTCCTGAAACAAAAGAATTTCGTTTTCGTTTTGAAAAATACAATAACAACCACACAAAAACAAATGACACAATCAAAATGGAAATCAAAAAGCGTACGTTTTATGTATGTTCAAGTGTATAGTTGGTATATCTGTATCCTTTTGGGTGGCGTGTGTCTTCGTGTTTCTTTGTGTATTCGTAGATATTTCAAGGACTTTCGGAGAGGTAAATACGAGTATGTGGGTTCAGTATTGTATAGGTTCTCTATTTTGTATCTTTGTAGCAGTTCGAGGTTCACTATTTCGAAGGGCCTTCGGGCCGAACAAGTTGGAGATTGAAGATGGGGGAGATTGTTGTGTTCTTTGGCTATTTAGAGTAAGCATTTAGCGGTTACATTGATCTTGAACTCTGAATGAAGTGTGCTGGCGTGTGGATGAGTATATGCCTGAGTATGCTGCGAACTCAAAAATCGAATCGGGTCCAAAAAAAGTTGGGGGCCTGGAGGGGAAAACTGGGGACCAAAGGTACGTAAAAATCAGGGATGCTCTTTTAATCCAAACGAGAAGTTGTGAGGTCAAAAATCTGAAGGTATTTCCCCTTTTATGTTACTAAGATGGACACGAAGTGTGTCTCTGGGTATTAGTTTTTTTTTCTTCAAAAAATACATAAACTTTTCAAGAGCTTAGCGGTAAAAGTGGGTGGTTGAGGGGCGGTCCAAGTTTGAGCCATTAGCAAGGCAAAGGAGAGACAGGAAAACTTTGAAAGAAGCGCAAGTTTTTCTTGGTCTGGGAATATTTGTAAATTGAACTCGAAGTCGTCTCAGAAAACCCCCTTTTCACTTGCGCTACGTGTTGCCAATTTGCCACGCCCACTGAGGGCGCTCCTCATTTAATTTGCTACGTGCCACGACGAAAGAGATGGCAACAGACTGCAAGAGAGAGAGAGAGAGACAAAAGACTGAGGCTAAGAGGACATTAAGCAGGAAACTTTGCATTTTGCATGCAAATGACAATTTGTCAAGTCTCTGGAAGTTTTCTGTTTCGGGGTTAGGAGCTAACGGATTTGGTTTCGGAACAGGGGAAGAATATATATATATATATATATAGATATATGACATAATATGAACGCATGATGGGCTCGACATCATGAACGATACGATATTATGTGGAGTTGCAACTCTACCATCTGATCAAATGGATCTGCATAAATGCAAGTTCAAATGTTGCTTCGATTTTGGTTTCGTTTAGGGTTTTATCGTTTAGGTGGAGATTCGTTTAGCGCTACGGTTCTATATATATATGATTCGAGGGTTCGGTGTTTAGATGCCAGGAGTTTACGGGTTGCAAATGACTGGTTTTTGCGTTTTTTATATATTATATATATAAATATATAGATACATTTCCGGGTTGTTGAGCAAGAGGATCTAGATTAGTTTGGTGTTGTTAGTGGCTGGGTTTCTTGTGGTTGTTCGGTGTTTGGTGGAGAATTCGTTTCTTGCGAGTAAGTGGGTGTGCAAGTTCAAATAGTTCTTGCCGGAAGAGATATATAGTAGTAGCTATATGGATATTGACAAACTGGTATATATATACTGAAAGAGCGAGAGCGAAAGAGGATTAGGACATAGAGTGTTGAGAAGCTTTTGCTTTTTGGTATTAGCCTCTCTTATTTTTTTCGATTGATTTGCATGCGCTCGTGTGGCGACGTTCGACAAAAGTTCTGGTTGTTCTTTATTTTTTTCAGTGGTGGTTCGGTGGTGTTTTGTTCTTGTTCTTGGGAATCGGTGGCTTAAGTGGTTTTTCGGTGGCTTTTCGGTGTACTTACGTCTGTTCAGCGTGTTGTCTATTTACAGTGTTCGGTTTTTTGTGGGTGATCGGTGTTCGAAATATATATAGTCATATATGGTTAACAATAGATGCTTAGTTGCGAGCCCCAAAGGCTTCGTTTGTACAGCTCTAGCATTACGAACTGATTGGTTCAAGCTATACCTACCGCTAGGATTCGTGTGCTCAGGGGTTCAAATGCTCTGGTCTTTCTAGCTATTCCTCTCTACCAAGCCAAGTATCAAAATGTTCACTGCAGCCGACATACAAACCTCTAGGATATCTGCTCTATTCACTAGCCTACGAACATTTAATATACAGGAGTATGGAAGCTGGGGAGAAGACTCTATTACTCAGCATTCCGGATCTCTAACTATTGCAGTTGACATTCGATTTGGGAAGACGAGTGAAAGGACAGAAGGCCGTTGGAATGCCCAAGGACTGGCGGCGAACAGTGCGGGACATGAATGTAAGTGCATTTCTGGCGGACTTCTCTGCCATCCTCTGACCGCAACTGCGGCTGCCTGCCCTCGAGCCCAATCACACTACAATCCTTCCACCACTTTCCCTCTTTTTCTCCATTTATGGTTTGTTCATGTTTTTTGTCTAACCGGACCAAAAAAAAAAAAAAACCAAAAAAAAAAAATATGGAAAAGGAAAACTGGTTAACTCAGCTGTTGGGCTTTTTGTAAGTTAGTTAGTTGGTTTTTGTTTCTGGTTTGCTGTTTCTTTTTTGGCTTTGGTTTTGCTCCTGCTTTCTAGATTTATTTATTTTTTTTTTTTTTGGTAGCGAAAAAAGGTGGTTCGTTGGATTTTTTATAGTTTCTCTTTTAAATATATTTGTGTATATATACAGTTGTGGCTATATTTAAAATACATTTTCTTTAATTGCATTTCTGTCTACGTTTTTGATGCGGTTTCTTTTGGCAATGCTGCTATGCTTTTGCGAGTCGGGATGATTGAAGGGTTTTAGGGATGAGTAGTTGGGTTTTTAAGGACTCGTCCCAGCGTGATTATGAGGCGAGCGCACACACTAAGGACAAGCTTATTTACAGGATGATCGGGGTTACTCGGTTCGGGATTTATATTATTCAACATTGTTAGGTTTTAGGTTTGGCATTCTAAGAACTGAAGAGTTGAGAGACCAACGAAACGATACGATCGAAACAAGGGGTTCAGCTAGAGGCACACGTAGATAAGCAAACGAATCCAACAAACAAACAATCGAACAAACGAAGCAACAACCAAACGACAAAAATAACTCAGGAACCGATTATATAGGACAAGTACTTCTTGTTTTTAGTTCTTTTTTTTTGGGCAAACACATCAAAATCGAAACGAAAAACTCTCTTAATTGTATTTGTACTTTGTGGCTGTGACTGTGGCTGTAATTGTGATTGTGAATTGGATTGGTGATTCGGTGTTGATTTGTCGTGTGGTCAAATACCAATTATGTCAGAGCTATCGGAGTTAACCCAAAGGTATTAGAATTAGAAAAGAGTTGGAAAAGACTGGCAAGACTAGGGTTAGTTAGTTGGAAAAGCGAGAGAAAAGCAAAGGATGGAGGGAGAGTTCCCCGGACTGGAGTACTTTACACGGTACTTGGATGGGGATTTCAGTGTTGGCGGTGACGTGTGTTCGGGTTAAACATATAGTAGTTGTACGTGTACGTGGCTATAGTCTATATCCGACATCCAGTTTTATTGATCGGTGGTTCAGTGGAGAGTCCAGAGGTAACAGAGAGATATAGATAGATCTATGGCAAACATCAAAGAGTTAGGAGTTGTACTGATCATTCCTCATTCGTGTGTGGAGGTTGTGCCGGAAATCCGGAGTGTGCACTTCCGGTTTTTCGGGTGAGTGTGTGGGTGTGAGTTAGAAGTTACAGTTACAGAAGTGTTGAGAGCTAAGTTAATTGGTATTTCGTATTCGTATTTCTGATTTCGGTATCTTTTGTTAGTATTCGTGGCTTTGGTTTTTGGTTTTAGTTTTTGTTTGGTTTTTTGTTTTTCGTTTTTTTTTTTTCGTTTCTCAGTTCATTGGCACTACTGTAGCAAAACTAATGATTAACTAAAAACAGCATTAGCACAGCACGACTTTCTGTTCGCCGCCGAGTTGTTAGCGGTCGAGATGTCGACCGATCGGCCGATCGTACTTTAAGCTATAGCGTTTTAATTAACGTGTGTGTGTACCTATAAGAGGAACAGCGTCCGACGTTGTCGGCATGGACTCGGCGACAAGGTTTAGAAATACTGTTAATGATAGTAGTATAGTTACGCCTGCAACAAGAGATACAATAAATATAAAACGCAATTTAAATCAAAGTCGAACGCAAAACACATCGGAAAACTGAAAGATCAAGTTTACGTAATAAGATTTATCATTAGTATTTATCGAAAAATTAGAATAACGTTAACACAGTTTACTCATCAGCTTTAATTCGTACTCCTTTATTGGGATGGGTTGTTCATGGAGTTTAAAAGGGGGTTATTTAATTATTCTTTTCACGGGACAAAGGGGGCTCTTATTTATTTTTAATAGTACAAAATAAGTGCTTCCTTTTTATGACATATTTTATAAGAATTACGGATTTACAGTTTTGAATTTCAAAAAGGAAACACTTGTTGGTTATATTTGCTTTACTTTAGTTTAAAAACTGAACAGAGAACATGCATAGACTGACTATCGTTAAAAGCAGCGTAGATTTATAATGGGATTGGGGGTTTATCTTCGATATTTAAATCCAGCTAAGCCTCAATTCGCTACCCTTGCTGCTTGACCTCACCGAACTCGACTTTCCTAACTAACTACCTCAGACATCTATGCATATATATTTATAGAGGAACTCGAACTGGGAGTTTCGTAATGGGGTTATCACCGCTGAAAAAACTCACAAAATTCATTTAGAAAATCTGATAATACAGTTGAGATCGATTGGCATGTTAGGTTTGTACGGTTTTGTGTCTTTGGACAAGGGGACTCGGTTGGCATACTCACCCAGCGTCAGCTTTTCGCCCGAATCCGGCGGCAATGTGAAGCCCAAGAGGGCCATCGATGAGATTAGCACACATGGCACGATTAAATTGAAAAAATAATATAATGTACGGCGGCGAATTTGTATAGTAAAGGTGATATCGACATATGGTTCTGGGCAGCAGGCGTAGACTATCGTATTCTTCTTTCCCGGCATGGCTGAACGATAAAATTGGATTAGTCTGGTTCGGCCAAGGATATTTTGGGGTCGAGACAGTGACACAAACATAGATACATTTACAGACACAAAGACACACGTATGTACAACTGATTTTTACACACTCGTCTTGCGAACGAGGTCATTAAAGTATATACAATTCAATCGTAAAACTAGTTTTTCAATAAAATAAAGAGATATTGCAAATCATAATTGGTCTATGAAGCAATTTTTCGGTTGAGCAGGCAATGTTTTAAACTTAAAAATAAATGCGGGTTTCTTTTGCAATTGAGAATATGCATAATGTATTAGACATTTACAAATGACAACGATCAAACGAAATAACAGTTAGAGAAATAAGCATAATGAGGTTTGTTTACTAACCAATCAAGTACCACTCGCCATTTGTTATGAAATCGGAAAGATCCCCTCCATCTTCGGAATTCAAAACCAAATCCAACTGATTTTTAAACAATTTTTTTTTTTTTTTTTTTCATGGGTATTCACAGAGAATGGAAATCAATTTGCAAATAGCAAATCAATTTTTACATACATATATTTTTTTGTGGTTGGTCATTGAGTTTTGAGTTTGAGTTTTTGTATTTTTAATTGGAGAAAGAGAACATTTAAGATTTTAGTTTTTTGTTGAATTTTGTTAAGAGTTTTTACAATAAGCCACATTGAAACAACATTTATGTACAGATATAGCATGTGTTCGAGGTGTACGAAAGAGAGAGAGATATAGAGAGAGCGAGCAAAATATAGAATTTTATATTCTTTTCATTTGTTTCGAAATTGTTTTTTAAATATCTTGTGGGTGCAAAATACGTGGGAAATAAAAGCGCTGTAAATTAAAGTTGTTCTCAAAACATCCTTCTGTTTTGCATACAAATAGATTTCTTTGTTGACTTTCATTAAGAGTCTTTACTTCGTCCAAAAATACGCCTGTTGCTTGTTTATTTTGGGCGTGGTTTTTTTATTTGCCTGCTACCATGCAAAATAGTTGAAACTTCAGAGGTTCTCTGTGTTGAACGATTCTAGGGTTTCCACACATGATTCCATTTTGGGAGACTTTCTACGAGGGGCTAACCGAGGACTCTCAACACTGGCGAAACCAGTGTTGAAAGCGGTTGCCTTTTGCTTTTGAGCTAAGCTCATCGGTTGAGTGTTGGCATAAAATATTCAATATTCCAATTAAAATCAGGATTGAATATTTTAGCCGACACATGGGAACTCTTACAGTTCAGTGTTGTTAACAACACTGCGATCTTTTGGTTTTGTAATTCGCAAAAACGCAAAGAATTGTTCGGCATGAGGTTAACGAGCGAACAAATCAAAAACTAGAAGATAGATTCGGGTGGATAGAGATAGAAAGACAAACAGAGAGAGAGAGAGAGAGAGATAGAAGTTTGGAAAAGCATATAAACGAAATTACAAATCCGTCCTAACCCTACAGTAAATATCCTAAACTCTCTATGAACTTCTCGTTTGGCTACAGTCAACTCTCTACGGAACGGACTTCCTTCGCGCTTCCTCGTGCGTGAGTCTCGTGATTTGGCAGAAGCGTGATCGTGCTCGAGTTGGAATGTGTTTTATTTTGTGTCAGTGTGAGTGTGAGTGATGTGTGCGTGTCGCCTAGTGTAGCCAGCGTTCACTGTACTATTGGAACTATTAGCTTTTTGTTTTTGTATTTGTTTTGTTGCTTGTTTTTATGTTTTTTGTTTGTCGATTGCCACTTTACCTGATTTCCATCGTAAGTCCAACTACCGAATTTCATTTCGCAATGTTGGTCATCAAATGGGAACCACGTGATGTCTATCTTGCATGTGCTCTTGAAGATACCAGGGGGCACGTACAGACAACTGCCGTTATGTTTGACCACAATGTTGGTGTGATACGTGCCATCGAATCCCTCATCCGCGCTAGATTATTGTACAATTTGTTTTAATTTGATTATTGTCTCGATCGATTCTGGTTGTTATTCGCTTATCAAGTTACTAATCTGTTCGATTTATCGGTCATCATATTTCATTTTTAATTATTTGAATTTTTTCTTTTTATTTTTCATAGGTTTTTTATTTGTTATTTGTGACTTGCGCTTTGATTTGTCATTTTCTTGTTTCATAAATACTAAAAATGTTTTTTGTTTTGGTTGTTTTGGATTCTAGATAACTAGAGTTGGGATTTTTTCGGGGATAAATATCTAGTCTGGGAATCATTGGGGGATTTTGTGTTTGGTTTGTTTTTCTGGTTGTGTGTTGGTCTTAAGATCTAAAGATTTGGCATTCTGTGGGGGATTTTCCAAGTACAGACTTACACAGGTTTTGTTTGAGTTACATTAAACTTATATAAGGATTCTTCTTAGCCTAAATCAAGGATATTTGCTAAAACATTCACTGTAATAGATCTCAACCAGCGTTTGACGACCCAAGCGGAATTTCCATTGCCACAAAAGCACTCGAGAACAGGAAATGGCCACATACAAATATCTTATACCAGCAATGTATCTTTGTATCCCAAATCCACTCTGTGGCACTACCAATATGCGCATATGCAAATGAACCTCGGCAGATACTCCAAAAATGCGGGCAAAGCATGCGATATGCTATACTCGTATGTAAACCCATCAGTGAATGTACAAATATATATATATATATAGTATAGTTGCGTGCATTATATATGAGTGTCTCTTGACTTTGCTGCTGCCCTCAAATGCTGCAATAAAATGCAATTACGGCTCTGATTTCGACTCGAGAGCCCGAGAATGTTGCGTAAACATTTTGTGGACAATTTAGTATTTTGCATTTTTCGGTCGCCGCAAAGAGGCAATGACGTGGTATCCATGATGCTGAATATATATATTTATACATATATCTATATGTATATGTGGGGAGTGGAATGTGGGGGAGTGTTGTCCAGGGGGCGTTGGGGCGTGGTTGCCGTGGTAACGAGGATTACATGCAAACGCTGCGGCATTTAAGGGGAATTTGTGCGCTGATTAGCGACAGGTCAAGCTCAACCCGAAACGCAGATGTTTCCCACTTGGGCTTAAGAGATTGCGGTCGTGAGGGCATTTTGACCAGGTCCAAAATACACACAAACACACACACACACACCAATGTATTGTGGGGCATTACAGTTAATTGATATGGCAGCGAGAAGGTGAGAGCACTTGATTGCCCGAATGTGTTAAAACACACTCGAATTTCCCGACAGTAATTGGCACGTCAATCCTTTTTGGGCCAACCTTCATCACTTTTTGCCCGCATTAAAAATCATTTTAATTTCGAAAAGTGAAATATTCGCTTGTATTTCGGTTCCCTTTTTTTTTTTTATTTTTTTGGCTGCCCTTGGTGCTGATTTTCTCTGTTCGGCCTTATTAATATTGACGTTGGTCTCAACCCGATTTGGGTTTTTTCCCTTTCTTTTTTCTTTTTTTGGTCCACGGATCTACCAACTAAGCCGCTGTCAGATTTATTTGGGTTTTTTTTATTTCGCAACTTCTGTGCGACTTGTGATGCTTTGGAAAAACACACAGATAATGTTGCAATTAGAGTGAAAGCTTTTCAGCTGGCATTGGTGGTTTAAGGCACCGGCATCTCAATTAAGCAGCCGTGAAAGGAATCGCAATTCGCGCCCAAAATCAGCATAAGTAAATGGACAAAACAAAAAAAAAAAAAAAAAAAAAAAACGCAAAAAAGAGGCGAATTAATCGATGGGGAATCTTCGTAATAAGGCTAGGAAAATCTACAGTCATGTATCTCCATCTGCAACTTTTTGTGTTTCAGTAGCTGTATCTTTAGCTGTATTTGTATCTGTATGTGTATCCGTATCCGTATTTGTATCCTTTGAATGTCTCTGCTATTGATCTAAATGATGGCCGCACATTAGCAGCGCTGGCGACGCATACAAATTAGGTCGAAATGTGAGTCGTTCGGGGAGAAGAATTAATAAATTAAACCGAGTGAAAGTCTTTCGCTGCGATGTTCCCCGAAATGTATGCTCGAAAAATGTGAGACTCCTGGAAAAGCTGACTGGGAATCGAAGGCGAAATGGCTTCTTGGAATCCCCCTGTTCGAGTTGGTTCCTTTTGTCGGGACACGAATTCCGGACTGTGAGCAAGTTCATTAGCAAACAAAGTTGACAGCCAAAAGGTTTCTCCAAGGGCCACGCCCAATCTGCTGATTTCCCCTGACTATCCAACTGCCCAGCTAATCAATATGATTTTTATTTCCAGCCTCCATTCTCGCCTAGGCCTTTTCGTCTTTTGTCTCGGTTTTCCACGTCTTGGTTTCGGTTTTGGTCTCAGTCTTGGTCCTTCGATGCCTTTTCCTGCGAAAATCAACGCCGGATGCTGCGTGCCATGGAAATTAAACGTGCGGCGTACGTGTTTTGATTCATTGTTCCAGCGATTTGGACTTTTTTTCTCTTCCTACCTTTTTTTCCAGGTTGTTCTTTTTTATTTTTTTTTCTTGCCACGGCTCTCGGGTGACATGTAAATTCCATTTTCATAGGACGAGCGACGGGTGAACACAGTGAACATGCCCCGTGCGTCAATCAAGCTTAAACCTCGTGTGTGACTCGCCATTAGGCCAAATAAGCTACGGACCTGGTCCGCTGCAGTGGTAAATATAAATTGCAATTAGTTCTGCAAATGCACCTGCACCCCGCAATCCGCAAAGTTGACACTCTGCACTCCGCCAGGTACATTTATATCCGACTGCAAGTCTCCGCAGTAGTTTGTCTTCATTTGTGAGCCAAGTTAGAGCCTCTCCCCTCCACTAAATGCGTATATGGTTGTTCTTTTTTTTCCTTTTAGCAGTTTTTGTACCTTTGGGGAGTTGTGGCATTTAAGTTGTTTTTAGTCGGCACCTGGCAACACGGCCAAAGGGGAATGTGGCAACAAATTTTGACGTTTAAGTTATGGCTTAAAATGTTTAAGCTCCCCAGGGTGGACACGGATTTTCTGCATTTTTTCCTATATTTTTTTTCAGAATGGTGCACCATCAAAGGATTCGTTGCAATCGCATTTGGCGGAATGGAAATATCATAATGAAGTTTTTTGCACAGACAAAGTTTTTTTTGCTTGCATATGAGAATATGCGTTTCTGTCAGATAATTCTGTGGGTGGAAAACGCTGGATGAGATATGAATTTAGAGAAATAGAGTCATTCCTTTTGGCAAACACAGCTGCTTCAAATGGCGCCTCTGGATTTGTGGTCCTATATAACTAAACTGAGACTTCTGGCGGGGAATGGGTGGCATGCAACCGAGTGGAGCTTACACGGCTACTTAGACTAACTTACGCAGACTTAATGGGCGAATGGGCCACTGGCAAATGATTTCTCGACGCCCGGATTTCGACACATCGATGCACACGCACACACACAGATGGCAAAATATATACTTGGTTATAGATAAATATATATACGAGTATGAATATATAATAGTAGTAGTAGTAGGTGGGTAGTTAGACGTTTAAACACAAATACATATAGATATGGTTGGTTAGGTATACAGCAATAGTTGGTTGGGTATATAGAGATGATTATAACTGGACACCGAGCAAGAACCGAGAAACATGAGCTTAGTAGTATTTATTATTGTTAAGGAACACAGTGAACAAATAGCTAAAATGAACGATATATATAGCACACACCAATAACAATTGATTACTTTGGTGATTGCAAAGCTCATACACACACATACACGCACCCGTACACACTCACACTCTCTCGCTGAAACGGACATTTTAAAAGCGAAATGGAAAATGGAGAATGGCGAAATGAGAAATGAAATGGCAATTATTAAAGGCATTTCGATGGGTAAGTGAGTGAAATGCGGGCATCTAACACTCGTTACGACCCGAAAACATTTGTAATTTGTACTCCCTTCGCAATTATTGTTGGCCATGTTGCGGCAATGTTTTCGCAACGGCTTACGGGGCGTATGATGAACGTTCCGCTACGGTCAAAATCGACAGCTAAATTCCGCTCCTGATTTGTTTAAATTTCAGGTTCACACACACACTCACACAATCACACTTCTAGTCTAACTAGTTGGACATATAGACTAACATTTAGTGAAAGCGATTCGATAATAAATTTGTTAGACGCTCGTTCTTTATAGTATCTGCTTTTAGGATTATAACATATGGATTTGAACCTTCCAAAATATTTGTTTGCTTTTTATACATTTTAAATTTACTAAAGTTTTGAAACTTTTATTGACAGCCTTTTAAAAGAAGTTTCCTTTTGATGAAGCCTTTCAAGAAAAATCTACGAGCAATTTAAAATGTTGACTTCATGGAAATGAAAAAAGTTTCATACAAATCTGTTTAAAGAAAAGAAAAATTTACAGTCTTAGCGGAATCTTGGCAAGCGATTCAAAGCACAATTTGTCTTGAAGTTCTTTTCAACTAAAAGTTGCTATAAGATACTCAATTTCTTTAGAGATTAATCTGGATTAAACGGACAGTATTATATTTTTATTATGGAAGGTTCATTTGACTTTCGGTCGGCCGAAAGTTTAAAGTTTTAAATATTTTTTCTTTACTTATATTGGGTGGCATGTCGTGATTTTTGTTAGTTTTTAATGCGTAGATGGACAGATCGATATTCAGTAGTTCAGTTGTGGAAGAATAGAATATCTGATGGTGCTCTGGTTTAATATTAACTTGATGGTTTGCTTAGCTAGCCTAGCTAAGTTTTCGGTTTAGAAGAATGTATTTAGCTTTAGCTTATATTATAATGGGATGGGTTTTCTATTTAGATACTTTTAACATGTCGTTAATACATTTAATTAGGTTGTGTTTGTGGTGAAGTGTTTTATGTGTGTTAGTGTGTGTATGGAATGTGGGTGGTGGGTTGGTTAGTGGTGGCTTTGGGTGGTGGATTCAAGAAGTGAAAGTATTTTTTGGCACCTTTCTCTGGGCTTTATAAGTGGTGGGATGAGGTGGGGATTTATGTTTAATTTTTGCATTTGGTATTATTTTTATGCGGTTTTATTTAGTTCTTTGTTTAGTAAGAGGGATTTGATTTCTCATGCACAATACTTGAAAATCTATTTTGCCTTTTTTTGTGATGGTCTGTTGGATGGTTTCTTGTTTTGTTTTTTGCAAGCTACGTATGAGTATGACAAAAAACATTTCTCCATTTTTTCTGTTTGGTTTTTTATTTTATTTTCTTAACAGTTTGTTGTCGGCCAAATAAATTCAAGTACTGAACGTCTAACCAGAAATATTACACCAGCATATTGTTGAACAATCTCTCAGGTGGTTATTGTCTTTCGGAAATAGAGCGAGAGGACTTTGACTTGGGCTTTTTGAGTTCATTAAGGTGAAGTCTAGGTGGGATATATATATTATATAGTTTTCTTTTGACTGGGAAGCAGACCACAGACCTTTGACCTCGACTCGAGGAATTCGACCCGTGCTGTTTCGAACAAAGTACTTGCGCAATATTCTGGTTAAACAAAGTTTAAGTTGTTGGAGTTTAGTCTGGGCGATTATTTAGCATTTTTTTTTTTTTTTGCGGTTACTCTTGGCATTTGGCTTTAGTTCGCTTTTATGGCTTGATGTTTGGTTTAGTTAATGCTGGATAACTCAGGCATTTCGTGTGTTATACAACGTTCGGTTAGCATTACGAATCCAATTACAATGTGAGGCCCACATCAACGGCAAGCTGACAATGTACAGTCCCACTAGACAACCACTGCGTGTAAACTACTCTTATTGAAGTAAACAAATGTAAATTATTCTGGTTTTCTTTTTTTTTTTTTTTTGTTTGTTTTCCTTATTTTGGTTAAGTCACTTTTCGAAACGTAAACATTGAAAGCAAATCATAAGCGGGTAACATTGAAACACAAATATCATATAATGTACGGGTAGGAAAAGTCGATTTTGGCCACCGAATCAAAACACATTATGGCATGTTTGACTTGCGGCCTGTTTCGATTTTCGTATTTGTTATTATTATTTTACTGTATACAAGTAGACACACAAACAATAGCGAGTGGATTATGATGCGTATATATAATAATAGCTATATAATTATGAGAATGGATATGAAGTCATACATAACTAAAGTGTATGCAAACATATCAAATATGCTGGGAATTATCGTTTTTAATTCAAAAACCAACTCAAATTGAACCGTACAAACAATATTATAAACAAACAATTAACTTTATGGGGTTTGTTAAGAGATTCAGATGGAGATTATATATAATAAATATCCATCGGAACAAACCCGTAAAGTTCAGATCTCTATTGGTCAGCTAGTAATCTATTTTAACTAAAGTGCACAACTCAACTACGTAATTATATTCGTATATGCTAGGTTTAACTATAACTATAACTGAACGCAAATCGAAACGATAACATAAACTCGCATTTTGGGGTCTTCATCCTGAGAATTTACTTGGATGGTTGTGGTTTTAACTTTTGGTCAGCCTAACTTACCATTGTTCAAATATTACAGTGATTAATTGGCTTAGATATTGTGGGTTATACGATCCTAAGTCTAGACTTAAGTCTGGTTATGTATTGCGCAAACACTTTATACTGATTCTCAGATTAGTTTCTTTGATTGATCATGAGGGGCTGCTTTAGCCTTTCTATTCGGTTACTTTAACGTCGAGTCCTTCCGATTTGGACACAGATCACTTACCTGTTGTACATGAGAACGTCGGGCTTCCACAGCTTATTGGGTGTGATTCGCAGGTCCTTGACGCCGCCATATTCCGTCTCATTCCAGCGCAGATTGTAGTCGTTCCACTCCTGGTTGTTCAACACACACACATTTCATTAGTTTTCATAATAGCACTCCAATTGGTTCAAACATATTTATATTGCTATCAAATTAAAGTTCTATAAATTCAAACAAAAATGCGACGTGATGTTTCGGAAAAGAAAACAGATTTCTCTGGTTATTTTTTTTGGTTTTTTTAGGGGGTACAGCACGAAAAGAAAGTCGGGTAAGAAAGTAAGGACTCCGAAATGAAATCTACTCAACTGCTGAGCACATGCACATACACACATGCAGTCTACCAACTACCATCTACTAATACCATTACGCACTAGAGACTAGGACTAAAGGATGGCCAACTTGCTCCATCTCTTTATTTTCTTTTTTTTTTTTGCTAACTGATTGGCAAGCTGTTGCTCTTAAGGATGCCAACCCACACACTCTCACGTACACACACAGCGGGCAGGGCACGCACACAGATACACTGTTGCCGTCTGCATTATATAGTACAACAATGTGCAACTTGACAACAACTCCGGGCTAAGTCAACCCCCCGCACGCCTACGAAACCGCACATGAGACAACTTTTATCAACGTTCCTCGTTTGCTCTTTTCTGATCCTGTTTAGTGGTACACGGCGAGAAAATTGGAACAACAATGCCAAAATAAAAAAATGAATGTTTAAACCTTTATTAAAATCTATAGCTTTCATTTAATCTTCAAAAAAACCCATTTGTTTAAGCAGCTTTTTGAGTTTTTAAATGATTGTTTAAGATTTATTTTTATTTTTATTTTAATTATTTTAAAAACTTTAATCATTTATATTTTTTAAAGTTAATATGAAACATTTTTAGACGTCAAAAATATTTAAATTTAAAATATTAAAATCGCAAAAGGAAGAAAGATATATTTAAATCATTGCAATTATGTAAAAAAGTCTATGTAAATAGACTAAATAGACTAGATTTGAAAATGTTTTCTTTTATTCCTAAAATTGTTGGTTGTAGTAAAAACTAATCGAAGCTTTTTCAAAAATTAGATTTACAATTCAGAAACAACTTGTTATCCCTTTTATGTACGTTGAGTAGGTGCATCACTTACCATTTCTTTTATAGTGTTCACGGAATTAAATAATCGAAAGATAAATAAATGTAGTATTTACAAAGTTTTAAGAACTAGAAATTTGAGTTTCTAACTTTCCCATTTAATTTTTGCAGTGCAGTCAAACAGTTGCTCAGTGCTTTGTGTCACTCTGCGGTTGCCTGCAACGCGATTCTGTCCCACGTCCTGAATTTCCCCCTGGTCGTTGCGTTTTGTGGCTTTCCTACAAGTGGTTCATGTTCGTGTCATAAAAGCGGCAAAGTTTCCCCTCTACTTAGTTTTGCCTTTGCCGGTCTCATGTTCGTTATATTGCTGTTGTTGTTCGCCGCTGTTATGTTTATAATTTAACACATTTGTGGCATTTTTAGAGCAAGCAATTGTCCTCGCCGACCCCCGTCGACCATTGCTATTGCTCATTTTCCCCGGAAGCTCCAAACACACACACACACACATACAGAATCCCTTTTTTAAATCACAAAAATTTAATTACATGCCATGGCCTCGTGCTGCATTAAATTATACGAGTGGCATGGAGCCGAGTATCTGCATCTGTGCTGGGTTTGTGCTTTAAAACCGTTTAAACTTGCCACTGCCACCCGTTATTGTGTGCGGCTTTTATGGCAGCTGTAAAAACAGATGCCTCGGTTGGGGCATCTCGTTTCGAGGTGAGCGGCATAACGATTCGTGCCCCTAAAAACATTCCAACCGCTTTGTGTGCCGGCGGAAGGACACAGATTTTGATGCGAGCGTGGCAATTATTTTGCGAAATAGTTACCGCCAAATAGTCACATTTACTGATGCGTGACAGAACTTTAGGGTCATATCCAATCTAATTAGCGAAAATGCAATGAAACTTTTCCACTTTAATTTCTGAATTTTTAATATTAAAATGGAAATTTACCAAAAAGAAAGAAAGGATTTTATTTTAAATAAAATAGATAGAAAATTGTATTCTTTCGTTTTCGATAACGAAATGTAATTAAAAGTCCAGTTTTTCTCTTAAATTAAATAGTCTTAAAATAAGCGTTTGTTTTTTGTTTTTTTTTTTTACCCTAGAAAACTTTATATGTTTTAAATATTTGGATAAAGTAAACTAGTTCTAAAAGTAAAGAACTTTCTTCCTTCCAACTCTTTCCTTTTAAATTGGTCTAAATTCCAAATTCGATAAACATCGATTTTTGAGGCTTTTCTGGTCGCGCTTTGTCTCCGAATGCTTTTGCTTTCATTTACCGATTTTAATTGCTATTTGACGGCATAATTGGGCCGTCGAGTAGAACAACAATCGGTTGACTGACGGGCACCATCGACGAGTTGAAGGGACCGGCATTTGGAATTTGCAGCTGCCTGTCTGCGGTTGCGAGTGGCAAATTGACAAACATTTGAACGCCATTTGAGGGCGAATACCGCCGACAGTTTATGAACGCCTCGCTCGAACCGGCCATCAATCATAAATAGTGCAGATTGTACACCAGGTCAAATGAAGCGTTCCATGTGTACTTTCTGTTCGATTGCAATTGCGAAATTACTAAAATTTATGGACCTCATTCAGGGTTGCATTCGATGGAGTGTAGTGCACACTCTACGTGTTAAATAAATAATTTAATTAATTTCGCAAATTGACAGGACTTGTCGGGTCCTACAGCACCGCTGCCGGAAATGAGCGTAAATATATAAATAAAAAATAGTGTGAATATCCCTCTTTTATTTCCGCACGCTTGTGTGTCACTTTTTATACATATTCAATTTTTTTTCCTTTCACACGAAAGATAAACACTCGCAAACACAATCGCATACAAAGTAAATGCAGGGCATGCAGTACGAACAAACACAGTTTGGGGCTTATTACACGATGCGATCTCTGGTCATGCAAATGTTTTCGTGTGTTTTTTGTGCCGGGTTAGGTTCTGTTTAGAGTTATGTTTTTTGGTCAGTTGTTTGGTTTATGTGTTTGATTTTTAATTGCTCTTAGTAGAAAGGAAACCGAAACTAACTCGCATCGAGTTCTAAACAAAAATGTCAAAAAAGGTTATACGCTGCGAAAAAAAACTAGTGGCCATTGTAGATCTCTATGTAGAAGAGTTATAAATTCAAAGAGAATAAAAAGGAAATAGCAGAAACCAAAGTTTATTTATTTGTGTCTGTGGTAATGTGGGTTTGTATTTTAATAAGCGATTTAATACAGTATTTAAGCTTGTATTTAACGATACTTATTTAGGTGATGATGTTTAAATAATTTAACGCACACACGAGCTAAGCCAACGCAATCTCAACGAGAGATAGATGGAAAAATAGAGAGAGAGACGGAAAATACGTACAAAGTTGTTTCATGAAGCGTTTTTTACAACAGAACTTTGGGAATGGGATTTCAGATGAAAGTTTTTAACCAGGAACAAAAACTCGATCAACTCTTGGTACTTCAGGTTAGGGTCGTGTGTGTTTAAATTATAATCAGGACAGACTCTTTCTGGACCAAATCCTGCCATCAGCACAACTAATTGCAAGGATAATTACGAATTAAACGGATACTTCAAGCTGGAGTGAACCAGAAAAAGTCCTTGATGTTCGATTTATGATTAAGTAGGTTTAAAGCGAATACACATTATTTAAAATACGGTTTAAGCTATAAGTAAGTATTTAAATTGGGGTTTAGGTTTAGGTTTATGATTTATGATGGCGAGTTTTAGTTAAGACTTACCAACGAAAGCCAAAGATTCGTTATGAGAAGCTGATTCTTCTCGTCCTACAAACGCATTTGGAACGAATTTTGGTTGTTTTGTTGTTAACGCCAAAGAACACAAGAAAATCAAGTTCAACGCAAGACCAACAATGGAAAGTAATAGTAAGTAAGACGCAAGGAAAGCCAAAAAGTTAATTTAAGTCAAAAGTTTAAAAAGAGCAGAGCATGATAAAAGAAAGTTTTGGTTTATACATTTGTTTTATGAGTTTTACAAGGTTCTTTTTTTCTTTTCTTTTTGAGCAGTTTTGTCTAGTTTTCTTTCTTATTTATAGCATCTGTTTTAATGACGTTTATGAACAAGATTTTTGTTGTATTTTTTTTGATGTTTTAGTTTAATCTCCACTAGCTCTGCACGCGATAAAGTTTGGCTTTAATATGCTGCAATTGGTCTTGAATTTGTCTGTGGCTTTGGAAGTGCAGCTAAGCAGCAAAACCACTGTGTGTAAGTAAACATTTATTGTAGTTTTTGGGGCTGTTGCAATTAACTTGTCTCATCTCTCCCATCATCATCACTCAATTTGCACAGAGACCAAGAGTCCAAGAAAGCCGAACAGAACGAATGGCTATCAAAAACTTTGTTGGCCCAGAGAAGCTTTGAGCCTTGAACACTAATCTCAATCTTTATCGCAATCCGCCCGCCCAATTTCAATCTGCTGGTCGGTGGGCCTTCAGATCCTTTGTCCATTGCGCCAATTTACTTTACAATCTCGCCTTCCTGTGTGGATTACATGCATATATACATATATATATGTATATCTATTCTTTGGCTCCGCCATTCAGGCGGGCTGGTCTGCAATAAAAACTTTGAACTAGGTAGTATCAAAACCCATTTATCTTTATACAAAATTTTAATTAAAGATATTTCATGCTGGCGCATTGTCAGTCACCCAGCCAACTAACCAACCAACCGCCAACTATTCGGACTTGGCTTATCCAATTCCCGTCAGGATGATGGGTTCAAGGTAGTTGTTCATCGTTTTGCCGTTTGTCGTTTGAAATGCAGATGAACGACTCACCGAATCCGACGGATCTGCATGTGAAAGCCGCTCTAAGGTGACTGTCATTAATAACTTGCCAGGGTAAACAACGAAAATGGTTACAAGCCGCAAAGCCAAAAATGAAAAGCGAAACAAAAACCGCAGGCAGCCCAAAAAAAAGAAAAGGAAAATGGAAAGAAATGAATGAAATGCGGGG